CTTCAGAGGAATGGGTGAGCGGGAAGATGGATGCGGTCCCACTGTGCACAGAGACGCTCAATTCCACATCTGGTCTTAAGAGGTCAGAGCACCTTTCTCCCTGTGAGGGCTGTACTCAGGAGGACAGTTGCCATAGCAACAGCACCCTGAGACCAGGTCTTGCTGGAGTCCAACCACTGCAGCCGCCTCGTTGGCCGCAAGCAGAGAGACTGGGCTGGAGAAGAGGCCCAGCCACCACGTCCAGAGCTTACATGTTCTCAGCAGGCCTTCTTGTTCCGGAGCGCTGCCTGCAAGAACAAAGCCTGGAACGAGGACGAAGGAAGACTGGCATGCGTCCGGAGTGTACTGTGTGGTGGGTGGTGGGTGCTGTCTCATGTAACTCCTCAGCAACCTGCCAGGTAACCAGTTCCCCCTGGGCAGAGCGCAGCGTGGCTCCCCATCCAAACCCACGACTCCTGCTGAAGCGTGGCTTTGTTCTGCTGCCCTCAAAAAACACTACTCAACAGCATTACGACATGGAGGAAATACATTAGGCAAAGCACAGTCTTCCTTTCTTTTTCCTTTTTTTGCCAGTCCTGGGACTTGAATTCGGGGCTCTTCTCTTCCTGAGCTCATCACTTGAGCCACAGCGTTCCATCTTAGTCGGAGCTAAGGATCTCACTGACTTTCCTGCCAGGCTCTTCCATACTTGATCCTCAGATCTCAGCCTCCTAGGATTACAAGCATGAGCCACTGACAAAAGAGCCTCTTTAACTTGTCTGCCAGGGCTGGGAAGGTGGCTCAGTGGTAGAGCGCTTGCCTTGCATACCTGAGGCCCTGGGTTCAATTCCCCAGCACCACATACACAAAAAGAAAAAAAGCCGGAAGTGGCGCTGTGGCTCAAGTGGTAGAGCGCTAGCCTTGAGCTGAAGAGCTGAGGGACAGCACTCAGGCCCAGAGTTCAGGCCCCACGACCGGACCCAAAAAAAATAAAATAACTTGTCTGCCAACACAAATAAAGGTTATTTTAGGGACAGGAAGAAAATATTTAACATGAAGAGTTCTGAAAAACCCAGACACGCCAGGACCTCACTGACTTCCAGACGTGCCGACCCCTCTGCCCTCCTCCCCTTGATCTGGCTCTGTGAATATGGAAGGTTGCTCTTCGGTTAAGCCTTTCTCTGGATTTGAAGAGGCCCTGGGCTTGCTGGCAGAGTGGCGCGCTGCAGCCCACCTCAAGCATTCTTTGGAACTTGCAGGGCATCCTGTTACTGTGTCACAGACTTTTTATTCCTAGATCTGTCACGTCCTGGCAGTCTGGTGGTAAAAGCTTCTGTCCGCCCCACAGCTACTGCCTGTTTAGAAGCCAGAGGCAGTTTTCTGTAAGAGCCACTTGTGCCAGAAGAATCTGGGGACAGGGAAGTATCTCTGGGTGATTCTGGTCAGCCTGGAGTGGCCAGAGCCTCATCAATGCAGAGAGAAGCCCACAGGGGAGGGCCAGCACGGCCAGGCCTTGGGAATGCCGCGGCTGAGCCCCCGGGAATGCCGCGGCTGAGCCCCCGGATGCTGCCCCCTGCGCGGCTGAGCCCCCGGGAATGCCGCGGCTGAGCCCCCGGACGCTGCCCCCTGCGCGGCATGGAAGGACGCCAGGAACCACAGTTATGACACTTCTTGTCCTGCTGTTTCCTCTTATTTATACAACCGAAGTGGGGTGTTCCCAAATAAATCCTCTAAATATGACATCCTGAGGATGCATTGCTTCGAAGACGCAGCGCAGATAAGTCTTTTAGTCAGTTACATTATAAAGCATGTTGTAACAGCTTAAAAAAAATCTGAGTTGAAATGTGTCTCCGTAGCCCATATGCTAAATTCTGGCATCTTTGTACCTCTCCCAAGCTGTTGTCAATTAGCACAGAAATTAATTTCTGCCTTGGTCTCCTTTGTAAAATACGGCTGGTGCTGGATGCTGAAGAGGGGGCCTTCTGCTCTCAGCGAAGGTGCCCAGGGGCCAGGGAAGAGTGGACGGCACGGCCGGTTCCTTGAGTGTGCAGGTGCAGACTGGACAGAGGAGAAGCCAGCCGCCCGCCCCGCCTGAGCTGGGTTTGAGACTTTTGCCAGATGTACTTTTAGGAAAAGGGAGGAAGGGAAGTGTCTCCCGCGTGGCCCTGGCCCCTGCTGGGGGGGAAGGCCGTCTCCACACACACACGCCACTCTTGCCTGATCTCCAGCCAATCCCCTCCCCCCTTTTGGGGGGCTGATACTCTACCACTTGAGTCACAGCTCCATTTCCAGCTTTCTGGTGGTAGAGATAAGAGTCTCACAGACTTCCCTGCCTGGTCTGGCTTTGAACCATGATGCTTAGATTTCAGCCTTCCAAGTGGCCAGGATTACAGGCATGAGCCACTGGCGCCCAGCTTCTGTCCTGCTTTTGAGCTCTGACTTTGAGCCCCTGGTCTGGTGAGCCCTGCCGTCGATGGGATGTTTGTCTTCGGTACTGACAAAATGTTGGTGGATGGCCAGACATTGTTTCTGAGGGCACAGATGGACATGCGTCCTCTCGTCTAAGGACGCTGTTCTTCGACTTTGTCACTGTCTAAGGGGTTTCTGCTATCCTCAGGGCCTTGCAGGACAAGAGACAAGCCAGACCCTCACTAGAAAGCTCAGTTGGAAAATGTGACCCTGAAACTTGAGTATAAAGAAGAAAGGAAGCACATGGACTCTGGTGTCTTCGTTCCAACCAAGCACGGAGGTTAAAGACCGGAACCAGAAGACAAAACAATAGCGGGAAGGGCTGAAATGGAGGCAGTTCCTGTGCCCCACGCTACGGGGGGTGGCGATCAGGACGTCACACAAGTTGGTCCAAAGCCCAGGCTACTTCGTGACCTGTTGTCGGGTTCTCTAGTTCTCTCCCAGCCAGGGTGAAGATAAGGGATGCTTAAAAACAACGGAGAAGCGGAGGTGGAGCCGGTGGTAGAGTGTGTGCGTAGCGGTGTGTCCTGGGTCCAGTCTACCCCCACGCCAGGGAAAGAGAAAATGGAGGAGGAAGGAGAGGAGGAGTTGTTGAATGTAGTAGCACTCTGCCCCTGAGCCACATTCCCAGCCCTGCAGAGTGTTGTGTGACTCTCTGAAAGCCTGTGAGGCCAGCCCCGAGGCGCTGCTCAAGCAGTGGGCATTTTCTCATTCTGCGCTGTGGCTTGGAGGCCTCTCTAGGCATTTCCACCACTAATAATTATCGGCCACTCCTGGGTCCAGCGCCGCCCAGAGCGGTCAGCCGGCATGGACTTTGACGGACTGGTGATCCAGAGGCCCGTGGCGACCCTGAATAAGAGGAGGCGGCGAGACCCGGAGGAGTGGGAACCCGCGCTGGGGTCTTCCTGGGGCGGAGGCGGGCTGGTTGGGAAGTCAGAGCCCACCTGCTTCCCCCCACCTTCACCCCCTAGCAGGATGCAGCCCTGGGCCTGCGCAGCAGCAGGGGAAGCCCCTGGGGACCTGCTGGGGGAGCCCCAAGTGTTCCCAGCAGATTACTCCCACGTCCCCCTGGAAGATGTTGGCCTCCTGCCTGCTTTGCCCTGACCCATGACTGCAGGTGCTAGACTGGAGACGGCAGAGTCTCTGCCTACCCCCCTCGCTGGCCAGGCCTTGAGCTCCACCACTTAGTTCCTGAGGGTCAGCATCCTCAGGCAGCAAAGGGAAACGCAAAGCCCTGGCCCACACACCTAGGATGTCTTATGGGCGCTGGCGGTGCTTTGTAACCCGCTCTGCGTCCGGTCTGCCTGTCTTGCTTGCTTTACCAGCTTTCTCTTCCGTGAGAAAGTGAGTCCTAAGTAGGGTTCTGGAAAAACAGGGAGGTGGACACCCCAGGTCTGTGGCCATCAGCTTTCTGGACGTGCCCCTGGGAACATGGGAAGTTGTTCTCAAGTAGAAGCATTTTCTGGGAACAAAGACATGGAGACTAGTTAATTGTTAGATGTATTAAGTGCATATTTTGTGTCAGGTACGTCTAGCTGTCCTGGTTTAGTTTTATTTTGGGGTACAGGGATGGAGCCCAGGGCCTTGCTCTGTGAGGCGCTCACTGACTTGTGAACTGCACTCCAGCCCCTGCCAGAATGCTTTAGTGTCCTGTGCTGTAGTGGATGATGGTAAGACAGGGCGATGCAGAGATGACTGTGATGAACGAAGCGCAGTCCTGCTCATGGACCCCTAGAAGCAAGAGGCCCAGCCGGCCGTGCTGGCCGAGGCAGGGTGAGGCGAGGGTGCGGGTGCACTGGTGCAGGCCGGGGAGGTTCAGAGACGCAGGCCCTGCCTGACCCCTGTCCTGGGTGACTAAGGCGAGCAGAGCCTGGGAGCCTGGGGGGAGGTGGCTGACCACGGGGGCCTGGTTGGCTGGTGTTTAATAAAGGTGAGCTCAGGCTGTTGCTCCGCCTCCTGGAGTGAGCTGACAGGGAGCGTAGGGAAGGAGCAGCCCCTCCAGGATCCACAAGGCACAAGAAGTCAGCATCAGGATGCAATAAGAACACAGTGGAGCTGCCTGCCATGGCACTCACCTGTAGTAACAACACTCAGGGCTGAGGCAGGAGGATCACCTGAGACCAGAAGTTCAGGGCCAGCATGGGCAACAGACCCTCCAGCTCCAAAGAGCAGGTAAATAAACAGAATAAGATGGATCCAGAAGCAGACCGGACTTCATTGATAGAGCAGCTTTTCTGTGGAAGGGTGACATCACCGTTTGGGGACGGGAGCAAGGACTTTTGCACACACACACACACACACACACACACACGTGTTAGAATGTGGCGTAGAGTGTGGCCAGGCGGCATGGCGGGCAGAGCGCAGTGTTTCTGTGGTGATGCCCTTCTGAGCCCTGCGGCCCCGGGCCAGTTCCTTAGCCACTCGGTGCCTCAACTTTCTAATCTGCAAAATGGGTGGGGACAAACTCCAGCACTCCAGACTGGCCTGAGAGGCTGAAAGAGGACCGTGAATGAAGGGCACTGGTGACGGAGCTTCTCCTTCCTTCCTTCCAGTGGGCCACGGGCAGAGTGAGGGCGAGCGGATGATGGTGTCTGACTTCCACGTCTTTGTCAGGGATGTGCTGCAGCACGTGGACCTGGTGCAGAAGGACCACCCCCGGCTGCCCGTCTTCCTCCTGGGCCACTCCATGGTAAGGAGAGAGAGAGCGCCTCGCCCTGACTCCCTGCGGGTCGCATCTCCCCCAGCCCTGCAGGCCGAGCTCCTCTCCCCTCTCCACCCTCCTCAGGGCTGTAGGGCCAGCGGGCACTGCCAGTGCACCCAAGAGGCCCAGGCGGCCATTCCATAGCAAGGCCAGCAATTGCCCCATCTCAGGAGTGCAGGGCTCCGTCAGTGAGAAGTACCTAGAAGGTTCCCAGACCCCCACCTTGTAGGCGGCCACAGGCAGGAAAGACCGTGGTGGGAACTCCCTGAAAGGGGATTCAGCCATGTTTAACCTCTGAACCCACAGCTGTGCAGGCCCATCTCCCCACAGAAAAGCTAGGTAGGGCGTAGTAGAACATGCCTATAAACCGAGCACGGGAGGGGAGGCCAGGCAGGAAGGAAGTGAGGTTGAGGCCAACCCAGGCGAAAAAGTAGCTGTACCTTGTCTCCATTAAAAAAAAAAAAAGGCAGAGTGATATTAGAGGCCCTGGTTCAATATCCAGGCTGGGAGGAAGGAGGAGGAAGGGGAGATAAAGGGAGAGAGGAGGAGAAGGAATGTAATGAAAACACATTCCTCCTGGCTGGCAGGTCAGGGTCTGGGCAGTGCTGGGGGGGGGCTGCATCCCCACCGGCCCCTGTGAACCCTGGAGGCTGAGCCTTAGGTCTAAATTACCTTTGAGCTCCAGACAGACATGGCCTCTCTCCTCGCTATCGGCACTTCTGGAATGTTAATTTCTGGGATCTTTAGTACCCAGCAGAAACCCTTAGCAGCCCTCCGCTGCTGACCATATTTCCTCTTCTTCCCCACCCCACTAAAAACAAAAACTCATCAGAATGGTTGAGGCCGACCAGCTTGGGGCTTGAAAGAAACAGGAGTGTGTTAGTGTTTAGCTTCCAGGCCACCCACGGCAGAAACTGATTTCATTTTATTATTTTACTCTACATCTCTGACACGTTTGCTCGTGGAAACCGGCCGGCCTCGGCCTGCGCCTGCGCCTGCCCCAGGCATGAGCCGCCACCGGCCTGCCCCTGCCCCAGGCATGAGCCCGCACCCACCGCAGCCACTCTGTCGTTTGCCTTGCAGGGCGGGGCCATCGCCATTCTCACTGCAGCCGAGAGGCCCAGCCACTTCTCGGGCATGGTCCTCATTTCACCTCTGGTGGTCGCCAGCCCCGAGTCAGCAACAACGTTCAAGGTAAAGCGCCTTCTGGGCCACACTGTCCCTGCGAGCCCCAGCCTGGGACGTGGCTGCGGTTGGGCCCGTGAAAGGGCTGGAGGCTACTCCCATGCTCTGTGCGTCACTGTGCAAACACCTGGGCGAGTACCAGACGCTGTCGTCACTGGGGCTGAATAACTTCTAAAGGTCCAAAGACAGCAGGAAGAGGTCTTCCTGTTTGTGCCGGCTTTATCGGCAGAAGTTAAGGGGAAAGGTTGTGTGTATTGTGTGTCCAGCAGAATCACACTCGCCAACAAATCCCATTCAAGGGGCTTGAGCTGTTCTTCATGGAGCCTCTGCAGAAGGCAGGAGTCGGGGGGATGATGGGGCATTCCCAGCCCACCCCAGCTCCCGGCCCTCATTGCTGCTTTGTTTCTCTGGATATAGAGTTCCACATGAACCGCACGCATTGGGCTCCTCTTGACAGGTGAAATGAGCCCAGAAATAGTACCTGGAAGTAGGGGGAGAAGGGAGACGGGGCCAGCAGCCCACAGGGGTATCTGCTGGTGAGCAGGGGTTGTGGTGTCTGTGTAGACCTGTCCTTAGGGCTGACACCGTGCCAGATGATTCTGGTGAGGGCACAGCACCAGCCCGTGTGCCCTCAGGACCAGCCCCCTGCCCAGCACGGCCCGCCAGGAGCATCCCAGCATGTCCATCCCATGCCACGGGCTCCACCAGAGGATCTCTTTCCTCTGAGGAGGGGGTGGGATGGCAGACGAGGAGCCTCCCCAGCAGAGAGGGGGAGAGCAGCTCTGCAGGGCCGCGTGAAGCAGAGCACCATGACGATGCAGCCGTTGCCTTAGGACCATCGGTAGATGTCCGTGCTGAGTGGACGCAGCTGGGGGAGGCTGTGGGAGGCCACGGGCCTTGCGCGAGGCAGGGGCAGCGCGGGTGTCACCTCTAGAGCATCCGGCAATCGCGGTGGTGATGTGGTGGGGGTGGAATAAGTCTCAGGTCCTTACTACGGTGGAGTAGGCAAGGCTGGGCGTGGAGGAAGGTGCCCTGTGCACCGCTGCGGCTCACCAGGCCCGCAGCTCACGCGGATTGACCGTGGACCGCTGCGCCTCACCAGGCCCGCAGCTCACGCGGATTGACCGTGGACCGCGTGCGGCTCACCAGGCCCGCAGCTCACGCAGATTGACCGTGGACCGCTGCGGCTCACCAGGCCCCCAGCTCACGCGGATTGACCGTGGACCGCTGCGGCTCACCAGGCCCGCAGCTCACGCGGATTGACCGTGGACCGCTGCGGCTCACCAGGCCCCTAGCTCACACGGATTGACCGTGGACCGCTGCGGCTCACCAGGCCCCTAGCTCACGCGGATTGACCGTGGACCACTGCGGCTCACCAGGCCCCTAGCTCACACGGATTGACCGTGGACCACTGCGGCTCACCAGGCCCCTAGCTCACGCGGATTGACCGTGGACCGCTGCGGCTCACCAGGCCCCCAGCTCACGCGGATTGACCGTGGACCGCTGCGGCTCACCAGGCCCGCAGCTCACGCGGATTGACCGTGGACTGCTGCGGCTCACCAGGCCCCTAGCTCACACGGATTGACCGTGGACCACTGCGGCTCACCAGGCCCGCAGCTCACGCGGATTGACCGTGGACCGCTGCGGCTCACCAGGCCCCCAGCTCACGCATGTTGCCTCAGCGTAGGGAGAGGTCAGGACCAATGTTCCTGGCGGGGAAACTGAGGTTGTTCCGAGACCATCCCCTCCGCCGCCACACTTGTTGATGAGTCAGGTGGGGTCTGTTGGGGGTCTAGTCTGGGCGCTCCACATGTCAGGTGCTTCCTATAGAAGACGGTGCATGTCTGCTGCCCCTGAGAGAGAAGCCGGGGGCCAGGCAGCGTGCACAGGGAGGACACGGCAGCTGTGCTCAGAGGAGGGGCTGACTGACTGACAAGGCTCCGGGAGCCTTGCGCAATGCAGGCCAAGACTGCCCTTCGGGTGCGGGCTGCGTGGTGACCCTGTGGGTCTCCTCTTATTAACCAGGCCTCTGCCCTGCCTGCTGGCCGTTTCAATTGACAGCATGTGTGATTCACTGGTCTACCTGCCCGGGACAGGAGCCTGCCTCCCACAGGTGACCAGGCCTTTTCTGACAAGGTCTCAAGCATCTCAGAATCTTTTTCTCTTACAGTTCGGTCTGAAATTTAGCAGTAATTTGCCCAGTCAGTTCGAGATGGAAGTGGGAAGGACCTAGCTGGGGGGAGGCCCGGCAGCGGTGTCCGGCTGTACCCCGCAGGTGGCGGCCCGACTCATGGGGAGCACGGTTGGTTCCCTTTCCCGTGTGGTTTGGTTTTGCTGTGGTTGTTTACACGCTCTTCTTGGTGCTCTGGGTCTCCCTTTAGTGACAGCTCCTGGCTGCACCTGACCTCAGGTCACTCTGAGCCTCGGTGATGCCTGATCATCTCGCTGTGCTCTGGGTTGGGGTTCTGTGGAGGGGCAGCAGAGCGCGGCCTGGAGTCCTGATCTCGTTCCTCAGCCCTTCCAGCCTCACCCAGCGTGTCTGAGGTCCCGGCGTCCCCAGGACCCACGGAATGAGGGGTTCCACAGCTTGTCTCCTGGCTCTGGATACCCGCAGGTAAAGCAAGTCCAGCCACTGCTGAGGTGGACGCTACAGGGGTCTGAATCCTTGAACCGTGCCAGGTGTGAGGCCCCAGAGATGGGGACACCACATTCCACTCCCAGGCCGCTGAGGCTTGAAGAATACGGCCTCCAAGAAAGATGAGGAGGAAGGGGACCCTCCTCCCACCAGGGAAGCTCTTAGAAAGACCCTGGAGGCACAGAAATCTAGCAACAAAAATTCCACAGAGCTGAGTGTGGGGCCATTTCCTGGGCCTCCTGCAGCCCGGGGGCACAGGGGCACCGGGGCCCTGGCCCCAAGCTGTGCCTTGATTCTCAGATGGACCTGGTCACGCCCCCCCCCCCACCCCCACCCGTGGCCTTGGGTCTCCTGTTCTGGGCTTGTCTGGGACCACACGGAGCGTTGTAGGGTACAGGCCGTGTCTTTCTCTGAGTAGAGTTGTGGCAAGGGCTCTGCCTGGCCAATGGAGCACATGGTAAACGTCTGTCCTGCCGTGCTGGGAGCAGGGGTTGTCACTGTGGGCAAAGTCCCGAGGTCCGTGGGTCCCAAGGCCTGGCCTGTGCTGTTTCCTCTTGGCACCACGACTGGAAGGACGTGGTGGCCATATTGTGGGAGAGGAAGTGAGGCATTGTCTTGCTCAGGGTCTGTTTGAGCAGCAGCGGGCAGGAGGGCTGGGACAGCCCTAATGTGCCTGAGCCACTTACCTCTCAAGGCCAGGGGTCTGCTGTTGGCCACAGGGCTGGAAAACCCGGCAGTGCAGCCGTGTGAGGGAGCAGAGGTGGCAGAGAAGGCTGCCCTCGGCCCGGTGCCTGGCGGCTCCCCAACAGCTGGGAGACGGGACTGAACGAGCAAGTGTCTTCCACACGTGCCACCAGCCCCTCACAGCGCGAACAGCGGTTCCTGTGGCAGGGGAGCCCCACGGGGCATAGCTGGGCGGCCTCAAGTTCTTGATGGTCTCACAGATGCGGCGGTCCCTTGCCCTGGCCGCCACACTGCCCCACAGAAGGCACAGGGTCCCGTCTCCACGCCCGACAGAGGTCAGCTGCTGAGCCACTCTGCCGGAAGAAAAACGATAATCACCTCTTCCCGACAAGTCCTCCACGGGCAGATGCTTAAACACGATCAAGGGAGCCATTAGAACCTTGAGGATCAATAAAGGCCCTTAGTGCATCTGCTGCTTATGGTGATGGATGCTGTGCCTGACGGCCCACTGCCCCGCCCCAGCAGGCCAGCTGGCCTTGCCGGTGGGGGAGCAACAGGCTCCCCAGTGTCCTGTCCCCACGCTCCCCAGTGCCCTGTCCCCACGCTCCCCAGTCCCCTGTCCCCACACTCCCCAGTGTCCTGTCCCCACGCTCCCGAGTGTCCTGTCCCCACGCTCCCCAGTGCCCTGTCCCCACGCTCCCGAGTGTCCTGTCCCCACGCTCCCCAGTGCCCTGTCCCCACGCTCCCGAGTGTCCTGTCCCCACGCTCCCCAGCCCCCTGTCCCCACGCTCCCCAGTCCTCTGTCCCCACGCTCCCCAGTCCCCTGTCCCCACGCTCCCCAGCGCCCTGTCCCCACGCTCCCCAGCCCCCTGTCCCCACGCTCCCCAGCCCCCTGTCCCCACGCTCCCCAGCCCCCTGTCCCCACGCTCCCCAGCCCCCTGTCCCCACGCTCCCCAGCCCCCTGTCCCCACGCTCCCCAGCCCCCTGTCCCCACGCTCCCCAGTCCCCTGTCCCCACGCTCCCCAGCCCCCTGTCCCCACGCTCCCCAGACCCCTGTCCCCACGCTCCCCAGACCCCTGTCCCCACGCTCCCCAGTCCCCTGTCCCCACGCTCCCCAGCGCCCTGTCCCCACGCTCCCCAGCGCCCTGTCCCCACGCTCCCCAGCCCCCTGTCCCCACGCTCCCCAGTGTCCTGTCCCCACGCTCCCCAGTCCCCTGTCCCCACGCTCCCCAGTGTCCTGTCCCCACGCTCCCCTGTGTCCTGTCCCCACGCTCCCCAGTGCCCTGTCCCCACGCTCCCCAGCGTCCTGTCCCCACGCTCCCCAGCCCCCTGTCCCCACGCTCCCCAGCCCCCTGTCCCCACGCTCCCCAGCGCCCTGTCCCCACGCTCCCCAGCCCCCTGTCCCACGCTCCCCAGCGCCCTGTCCCCACGCTCCCCAGTCCCCTGTCCCCACGCTCCCCAGCCCCCTGTCCCCACGCTCCCCAGTCCCCTGTCCCCACGCTCCCCAGCCCCCTGTCCCCACGCTCCCCAGTCCCCTGTCCCCACGCTCCCCAGCCCCCTGTCCCCACGCTCCCCAGCCCCCTGTCCCCACGCTCCCCAGCCCCCTGTCCCCACGCTCCCCAGCGCCCTGTCCCCACGCTCCCCAGCCCCCTGTCCCCACGCTCCCCAGTCCCCTGTCCCCAGCTCCCCAGCCCCCTGTCCCCACGCTCCCCAGTCCCCTGTCCCCACGCTCCCCAGTCCTCTGTCCCTGCTTCTCTGCATGGGTGCTATTTGCTTCCTCGTGCTGCTGGCCAGATGGCAGTTACCTAACTTCTCAGGGCCAGAGGTCAGGACTGGACGTGGGGAGAGTGCTGTGGAGAACACAAGTCTGTGGAATGTGGAGGTTTGAGAACCATGCGTGTGAGGAACACGTGTGTGCTCATGGAGGTGTGGTGACCATGCGTGTGAGGAACACGTGTGTGCTCATGGAGGTGTGGTGACCATGCGTGTGAGGAACATGCGTGTGCTCATGGAGGTGTGGTGAACATGCGTGTGCTCATGGAGGTATGGTGACCATGCGTGTGGTCATGGAGGTGTGGCGACCATGTGTGTGCTCATGGAGATGTGGTGATCATGTGTGTGCTCATGGAGGTGTGGCCATGCGTGTGCTCATGGAGGTGTGGCGACCATGCGTGTGCTCATGGAGGTGTGGTGACCATGTGTGTGCTCATGGAGGTGTGGCCATGCGTGTGCTCATGGAGGTGTGACCATGCGTGTGCTCATGGAGGTGTGACCATGCGTGTGCTCATGGAGGTGTGGTGACCATGCGTGTGCTCATGGAGGTGTGGTGACCATGTGTGTGCTCATGGAGGTGTGGTGACCATGTGTGTGCTCATGGAGGTGTGGTGACCATGTGTGTGCTGATGGAGGTGTGACCATGCGTGTGCTCATGGAGGTGTGACCATGCGTGTGCTCATGGAGGTGTGGTGACCATGCGTGTGCTCATGGAGGTGTGGTGACCATGCGTGTGCTCATGGAGGTGTGACCATGCGTGTGCTCATGGAGGTGTGGTGACCATGTGTGTGCTCATGGAGGTGTGGTGACCATGTGTGTGCTCATGGAGGTATGGTGGCCATGCGTGTGCTCATGGAGGTGTGGTGGCCATGCGTGTGCTCGTGCAGGTGTGACCATGTGTGTGCTCATGGAGGTATGGTGGCCATGCTTGTGTTCATGGAGGTGTGGTATCCGTGCCCGTGTCCCCATGGGCTTCCTGGTCCTTGGACTCTGGGACAGGGCTCTGAGGCGGCACATGGTTGCAGGAGGCAGGCTGCAGCCCGGCTGCAGAGCTGGCCAACTCCTCCCAGGTTGGGCCCATAGGTGTCTCCATACCTCACAGGATTATCCGAGGACTGTGCGAGACTGGACACGAACAAGATTGAGATTGACATTTGTTTGGCTACCATTTCTTGTATGGGTGAGCATTCCTCTCCCCACTGCACCTCCTTGACTATCTTTGCCCTGGAGGCTCGGCTCTGAGGTCCCTGGTGGAGGCTGACCGTCTGTCCTTACACTGGAGATCGGGCTCTGAGGTCCCTGGTGGAGGCTGACCTCCTGTCCTTATACTGGAGATCGGGGTCTGAGGTCCCTGGTGGAGGCTGACCTCCTGTCCTTATACTGGAGATCGGGCTCTGAGGTCCCTGGTGGAAGCTGACCACCTGTCCTTACACTGGAGATCGGGCTCTGAGGTCCCTGGTGGAGGCTGACCGTCTGTCCTTACACTGGAGATCGGGCTCTGAGGTCCCTGGTGGAGGCTGACCACCCGTCCTTACACAGGGGACTGGGCTTTGAGGTCCCTGGTGGAGGCTGACCTCCCGTCCTTACACTGGAGATCGGGCTCTGAGGTCCCTGGTGGAGGCTGACCACCTGTCCTTACACTGGGGACTGGGCTCTGAGGTCCCTGGTGGAGGCTGACCGCCTGTCCTTACACTGGAGATCGGGCTCTGAGGTCCATGGTGGAGGCTGACCTCCTGTCCTTACACTGGGGACTGGGCTCTGTGGTCTATGGTGGAGGCTGACCACCCATCCTTACACTGGGGACTGGGCTCTGAGGTCCCTAGTGGAGGCTGACCTCCCGTCCTTACACTGGGGACTGGGCTCTGAGGTCCCTAATGGAGGCTGACCTCCCGACTTACACTGGGGACTGGACTCTGAGGTCCATGGTGGAGGCTGACCTCCTGTCCTTATACTGGGGACTGGGCTCTGAGGTCCATGGTGGAGGCTGACCATCCGTCCTTACACTGGGGGCTGGGCTCTGAGGTCCCTAGTGGAGGCTGACCTCCCGTCCTTACACTGGGGACTGGGCTCTGAGGTCCATGGTGGAGGCTGACCATCCGTCCTTACACTGGGGACTGGGCTCTGAGGTCCATGGTGGAGGCTGACCTCCTGTCCTTATACTGGGGACTGGGCTCTGAGGTCCATGGTGGAGGCTGACCATCCGTCCTTACACTGGGGGCTGGGCTCTGAGGTCCATGGTGGAGGCTGACCATCCGTCCTTACACTGGGGACTGGGCTCTGTGGTCCATGGTGGAGGCTGACCATCCGTCCTTACACTGGGGACTGGGCTCTGAGGTCCATGGTGGAGGCTGACCACCTGTCTTTGCACTGGGGACTGGTGGAGGCTGGAGATGATGGTCACACTTACCTGGGACTCGCTGTTGGCTGTACCTTCCTGCTGCCCAGGGCCTTGTGTGCAGTCTGCCTGCTCTGCTCCTCAGGCTCTTCTCCCACTCTGCCTCCATCCCCAGCCCACCGTAAAGGAGGTGGAAGGTGGGGCTCAAACCATCCTGCTGGAGAAACAGTTCCCCACTCTCTTGCTTTATTATGGGAAGAAGCTAACGCATTCATTTCTCCTTTTTAGTTGTGGGGCTTGAACTCAAGGCCTGGCTCTGTCCCTAAGCTCTTTGGCTCAGGCTAATCCTGCCACATGGAGCTGCAGCGCCACTTGTGGTTTTCTGGTGGCTCACTGGAGATGAGCGTCTCAGTTTCCTCTCGGGGAGTGCATGTCTCTCTGGAACACCACGCCTTTCCCACGCATGTGTGCAGAGCTGGCCCACAGGACGGCGACCACAGAGATACCAGGCCCCCAGTGGGACTCCTCAGCACCCCACCCCCGGAGCCCAGAGACAGAGCCCTGGACAGTGATTGAGCAGCAGTCAGCAGGAATGAACTCTCACTGTCAGGTGTAGGTCAGGTGTTGCAGAGAGCTGAGACACTGTCAGAAGCAGGCTTGGCATCCGTCACTATACCCTCAACACGCTCTGTCCATTCTGAGTCCTGCATTTCACAGCTCACGCTTTTTTTGTTTGTTTTGGTCAGATGTGGTGCCTGAACTCTGGCCTGGGCGCTGCCCCTCACAGTTCAAGGCCAGAGCTCTACCACTTGAGCCACAGAGCCACTTCGGGCTTTTTTCTTTTTGCTTATGTGGTGCTGAGGATTCGAACCCAGGTCCTCAGGCATGCAAGGCAAGCGCTCTACCACTGAGCCGCCTTCCCAGCCCCTCACAGCTCAAGGCGAGCGCTCTACCACTGAACCACCTTCCAGCCCCCACAGCTCAAGGCGAGCACTCTACCACTGAGCCACCTTCCACCCCTCACAGCTCACTTTTGAAGTAGCATCTTCACCTTGAGTATGTGCTCATCACAGCCCCTTTGAGTTCTCTCCTTCCCTGAGAATGCGTTAATCTAAAAGGGGAAAGGGGAGGGGAAGAGGGAGACCAGAACCAGGTTCAGGTTCGATGTGCGTGTGTTAAACACCTGCTGTCTGCCTGGCTTTGCCCTCAGGGTGTCCATAATTCCCCCTGTAGCCTCTTGGAGCCCCAGCTAGTAAATTGGAGAGGCCTGGTGGGTGAAGACCCAGCTCCCGCTCGCTCACGGCGGGTGTCACAGCCGGGCCGCCTGCCCTCTGCCGGCCCCTCCTGAGGGCCCTGCGACTTCCTCCCTCCTGCCCTCTGCCGGCCCCTCCTGAGGGCCCTGCAACTTCCTCCCTCCCAGCTTGGAAGGCCGTGCTTCTTTACTCTCCGCTGGTCTGGATGGTTCTGTCCCTGCTGCAAGGAAGGGCTGAGCACACTGTGCATTCCGGGCAGCAGTGCGGCCGCGATTCCCTAAGACCCTGTGTGACTGTGGGGTGGCTGCTGTGCAGACCCCAGAGCAGGCAGACACGTAGAGCGGAGGTCCTGCCGCCCACGGGCCCTGGAGCTTCTGAGCGCCCAGGCCTGGGAGGGCAGCGGGGGGGGGGGGGGCGGTCAGCTGTCTCCAGGGAGGGCCGGCCCAGGCCTGGGAAGGCAGGGGCGGGGGGGTCAGCTGTCTCCAGGGAGGGCCGGGCACGGGTCCAAGGGTGCTCATGGCTTCTCTTTTGTCTTCCTCTCTAGATTCTAGCCGCAAAAGTACTCAACCTGGTCATGCCAAACATGTCACTGGGGCCCATCGACTCCAGCGTGATCTCAAGGAACAAGACAGAGGTGAGAGTTTGGGGCGAGCCTGGAGTGGGTTCATGGCCTTTGAGTAAGGTCAGTGTACTTCCCGGTGGGAAGCTGTTTGGGGTCTGTCCTGCAGTGGTTTGTGTGGCCCTGTGTCCAGCGATGGGAGACACAGGAAGGAAGCAGTCCCGTGGTCTTCCCGCTGATGGTTTGAGCTGTGTCCTCACAATCCACGGGGCTTACCAGGGGACCGGCAGCAGCCTGCTGGCTTTGGAGTGCAAGTGACCAAAATCCAAAGTGAGATTAGGCAAAAGATTTATTGGATGCAGCAACTGAAAGCTTCAGGCATGTCTGGATCTAGGGAGTTAAAAGTCCTGTTTTCCATCTGCCTCTCCTTGGCCCTCATCCCCTCTGGCTTGACTTGGTTCCCAGGCTGGCTGGGCCTACACGTGGGCAAAGGCGGCCGCTGACAGCTCTCCCCCAGCCGCCCTGGGGCACAGACAGCCCCTTTCAAGCGGATTCTTACTGACTGACTGTGCAGGCCTGGGTTATTGCCTAGGAAAGGAGTGGTGTTAGCCCCACCTAAATTCATAGCCTGAGAGCAGGGGAAGAGTGGCTCCAGGATTGGGCTAACAGGAAGGACAGACCGCCGCACAGGCCTGTGAACAACTCACTTCCTTGGCTCACTGTTGGGCTGGCCTGACCTGCTGGGTCCTGGGTCTGGACATGGGGAAGCCTTCCTGTTGGTGAGCTGCCAGGTGGCCCCCGGCTGAAGCCACTACTGCGTGCGTGGAGCCTTGGGGGGCGGCAGGGGTCTCTCACCTGCCCACCCCGCACACCGTGGCTTTGGCCTGAACGTGGGACCTGTGGAGAGCCCAGCTATCTTCATCAGAGACAGACAGACAGACTGGCTTGCCTGTGCGGTCTTTAGGTCGAAGCACCCAGGTTGCTCTCTTCCCCTCTGCAAAGGTCTGGGAGATAAAGAGAAAAGACAATTATTTCAGACCCCTTCCCTGCTGAGAAACGTGGAGTTACAGAGCTTTGATCTATGGGTTAAATTACTGACGGTCTGATCGGGAGAACAAATGGAAGGGACCTTTCTCCCCGCTGGCCTCTACCATGGCCAGGGTTGGGTCAGGGGAGGGTGGGGCTGTGAAAACGACCCCCTTTTCCTACTGGGAGATGCAGGAAGGGTGCGGACTCCAGTGACCAGATCTGGTGAGAGTCAGCGGTCCAGCCCGGGGGGCGGGGGGGGGACCCCCTGTGGGGCCCAGGCGCCCTGGACGGAGAGACAAACACCCGCAGGTGTAGCTAGGAGCGCGCGGGGCTGCGCCCCTCGGACCCCTCACCCGCACTGTAGCTGGGGAGCGCGCGGGGCTGCGCCCCTCCGACCCCTCACCCGCACTGTAGCTGGGGAGCGCGCGGGCTGCGCCCCTCGGACCCCTCATCCGTGCGAGGCACAGCTTCCGCTCGGGTATTCCAGGACCCCTGCAGCTATAGAAACCTCCGAAGGCAGCTTGTTCCCTGACAAGCTAGGTAAAGGGGTGCTGGCGGGGTCCCTCCGGGGCGTAGGTGATGTAGGCCGGCGGGCGGGCCTGCAGGCGCAGGCCAGGCACGGGGTGGATGGTCGAGGAAGCAGGTGTCGCTGTGGTGGACGTGGACAGTGAGCTGCGTGTTTGGGTTGCTCCGTGCCCCGCCCCACCTCGAGCTCAGTCTCCCCACTTCTGTGCGGCCCAGCCGGCCCAGCCCAGCTCCAGGGGTTTGGACCAGGTCTGGCTACCCTGGGCCTGGCGGCTGTGACTTTGGCCTCTGCTGCTCTGACCACCAGGGGGCCTGGCTTTCCCTCCCCAAAGCCTTGGTGTGATTCTGCATTGTTCTCTGGCCCCAGCTACAGTGCGGGTGAGGGGTCCAAGGGGCGGAGGAGCGCGCGCTCCTTATTGATTCCTCCTCCTCCTCCTCCTCCTCCTCCTCTTCCTCCTCTTCCTCCTCCTCCTCCTCCTCCTCCTCCTCCTCCCCCTCCTCCTCCTCCTCCCCCTCCTCCTCCTCCTCCTCCCCCTCCTCCTCGTCTGACCTGGGGACAACATACCTCTCCCCCGTGATGTCTGGCGTGCTGTCACTAGGGTGTCTGAGTGTGGGCCACGCGGGAGGTGCTCGGTGAGGGTGTGCGGGTGGCTGGCAGCTGGGGAAGGACGTACAGACGCTGGGACAGCAGGGCCAGGGCTCCGCACAAAGGAGGAAGGCTGAGGGCCAGGACAAGGCCCAGGGGCCCTGGGAGGGGCCAGGCAGCTGAGCCAGGTGTCCATCGTTGTGGCCATGCAGGGGCAGAGGTGCCCGTGGAGGAGGGGTTGGGCGTCCCCGCCGGGCGCTGATGCACACGGCCTGGCCAGCAGCCGCGTCCCAGCAGGCCACAGGGTGGGCGTGCTGAGGTCTGCACTGCTGCTCCCCACATTCATTTCCTGTGCTCCGTGCACAGCCCAGTTCCTCCGGCATTTTCTACGTGCGTTCAGAATATTCCATAAGCCTGCCCCCCCACACCCAGCACGCTGCGCAATAGCCAGTGACCCCCTGGCCACACACCAGGCCCTAGTGGGGAGCAGGCAGACCACGCCTGACCCCCAAGTTCCAGAAGCAGGCAGGCTACCCACATGAGGCTGGAAAGGGCTCAAGGGAGACAGAAGTTTCATCCAACAGAGACAGGCCAGACGAAGGCGGTGGTGAGGGTGTTCGCATCGTCTTACTGTGATTATCAGGGGGTCGCACGGAGGTCAGGGCTTCGCAGTCCCCCTCTCCTCAGCAAACCCATCTCCTGCTCAGGACAGGAGCGGGCAGGAGGCAGCGCTGCCCACCCCGGTCCTGCTGGTGCCCACAGGCCTTTAGTGGGGAGCCATTCTCTGCTGTGCCGGAGAGCTCTCATCTCCCAGATGAATGAAGAGTCTGGGCCGTGGAGGGAGGGGGTGGGGGTCCCAGGGGAGGCGGGTGGGGGTCCCAGGGGAGGCGGGTGGGGTCCCAGGGGAGGCAGGTGGGGGTCCCAGGGGAGGCGGGTGGGGGTCCCAGGGGAGGCGGGTGTGGGTGGGGGTCCCACGGGAGGCGGGTGGGGGTCCCAGGGGAGGCAGGTGGGGGTGGGGGTCCCACGGGAGGCGGGTGGGAGCCCCAGGGGAGGCGGGTGGGCAGGGAGACCCGCCTCCAGAGGGCCTGCGGGGCGTGCTGCTGTCCCCTGAGCACTGGCCTCCGGGGCTGGCTCTGTGGGCGGGAGGAGGGCTGGGAAGGAAGCCTGCCCAGGGCCCCATCCTCCCCTCGCCTCTGGGCTCTGCCGAGTTACTTCGCAGTCTGACCAGCTGTGTGTCCTGTGCCTGTCCTTTCTGCCACTTGCTTGGTTTCTGGTGGACCAGCGGCCACCCACTCCGTCACGGGTTGGTAGGCCCGGCTGGCAGTGGAGAGCGCTGGCAGGCCGAGGTCCGCAGCATCATCCTAGCACACAACGCAAACACTGACCTTGTTGGTGAGTGGTGGCTCAAGAGCACAAGTTTGTTTTTTGTTTTTTGTTTTTTTTTGGGGGGGGGTCCGGTTGTGGAGCCTGAACTCGGCCTGGGCGCTGTCCCTCAGCTCTTCAGCTCAAGGCTAGTGCGCTACCACTTGAGCCACAGCACCACTTCCGGCTTTTTTCTTATGTGGTGCTGAGGAATCGAACCCAGAGCCTCTGGCATGCAAGGCAAGCACTCTACCACTGAGCCACCTTCCCAGCCCAAGAGCACAAGTTTTGAGGAAAGAAAGGAAAAGAAACAAAGTCAGGGACAGCACCTAGGCCCTGAGTTCAAGCCCCAGGACCACGGTGTGCACGAGCGAGAATGCCGCCTCAGTGCGGGGCCTGGCTCAGTGAACCCAAGGTCTAGGCTGCGCTTCTGATCATCGCCAGAAAGAAGTTTCTGTGGCTGGTTCAGAATCGCTGCTTGGGGGGCCTCAGTTTCTCCCTGTGCCCCCCTCCTCTCTACTCCTCTGCTTCCCGCCACCTCTCCCTCTATGCTCATACCACAGCCTGCCCTTTCCCCGGCTCAGTTCACCTCCCCCCACCCCCTGCACAGCCCGCCCTTTGGCCTTGCTCACACACACACACACACACACAGAGTTCACCTTCCCCCCTCCCCCGCACAGTTCACCTTCCCCCCCCCCCCCACAGTTCACCTTTCCCCCCTCTCCCCCCTCCCCCGCTCAGTTCACCTTCCCCCCCCCACAGTTCACCTTTCCCCCCCTCCCCCCTCCCCCGCTCAGTTCACCTTCCCCCCCCACAGTTCACCTTTCCCCCTTCTCCCCCCTCCCCCGCTCAGTTCACCTTTCCCCCCGCATAGCCCGCCCTTTGGCCTTGCTCACACAGCCCTTTCCCCTGCACATCTGGCAGCTTCAGATAGAACATTGTGTAAACAGGGTCTACGTGACCAGGACAGGAAACTGAGCCCTGGCGGGAAGGAAGCCCCAGGCCGGCGGAGAGGCCTCCCAGGGGAGCCAGCCCTCCGCGCTGCAGGTCAGAGGACTGGACGGCCCCTGCTGTCCAGCTCGGGACAGAGGCGGTCAGGACATGCATCTCAGCCTCAGGCTGGACTTCTCGTGTGTACAGACACACCTCTGTGTACACACACATACACACCAACACACATCTGCATATCCACATACATCCATGCCCACACACAACACATATATACACACATACCTACACTCACATGTATACATAGACATCCACACACACCACCACACATATTCACACATATGCACACCAACACATCCATATATGTACATACACATCCACACACACATACACACGTATACCTACACGTCCACATATCCATACACATATCTACACCCACACATACCAACACAATACACACACACACACACACACACACACACACACACAGGGCCATGGTCCCAGACCCCTGGAGGAGACCCAGGCTAGAGCTGACCAGACAGAGTGCAGCTTGCCTGCCGGAGCAGAGACCTCAGGCCACAGGTCTTGCCCAGGAGGGGGCTGGTCCTTGGTAGACATCTGTCTGTGACCGTGACCTTGTCCACATGTCCCCACCACTCCCTAGCTCACCTATTGGCCAGAACGGGGTCATGTGGCCTGCACTTGGCTGCAAGGGAGGCTGGGGTGAGGAGCTGGTTCTCAGAGAGTAGCAGGCTCCCACGGGGAGAGTGGACTGCTTCCGCCACGGCAGCAGCCGCTGAGCCTCCTACAGGGAGCACAGGCCTAGCCACGACACAGCCAGAGAACACCTGTGGGTGCAACGTGACCAACACGAGTCAACTAGGGAGGCAGCGAGGGTCAGGTGGCGTCCTGCTAGTGCGAGGTGCCGCCCGAGGGTCAGGTGGCGCCTGCTAGCGCGTGGTGCCGAGCCGCCCGAGGGTCAGGTGGCGCCTGCTAGCGCGTGGTGCCGAGCCGCCCGAGGGTCAGGTGGCGCCTGCTAGCGCGTGGCGCTGAGCCGCCCGAGGGTCAGGTGGCGCCTGCTAGTGCAGGTGCCGAGCCGCCCGAGGGTCAGGTGGTGGCGGCCTGCTAGCGCGTGGTGCTGAGCCGCCCGAGGGTCAGGTGGTGGCGGCCTGCTAGCGCGTGGTGCTGAGCCGCCCGAGGGTCAGGTGGTGGCGGCCTGCTAGCGCGTGGTGCTGAGCCGCCCGAGGGTCAGGTGGTGGCGCCCGAGGGTCAGGTGGTGGCGCCCGAGGGTCAGGTGGTGGCGCCCGAGGGTCAGGTGGTGGCGCCCGAGGGTCAGGTGGTGGCGGCCTGCTAGTGCCAAGTGCCAAGCCGCCCGAGGGTCAGGTGGTGGCGCTGAGCCGCCTGAGGGTCAGGGAGGGTCAGGTGGTGGCGCTGAGCCGCCTGAGGGTCAGGGAGGGTCAGGTGGTGGCGCTGAGCCGCCCGAGGGTCAGGTGGTGGCGCCCGAGGGTCAGGTGGTGGCGCCCGAGGGTCAGGTGGTGGCGCCCGAGGGTCAGGTGGTGGCGCCCGAGGGTCAGGTGGTGGCGCCCGAGGGTCAGGTGGTGGCGGCCTGCTAGTGCCAAGCCGCCCGAGGGTCAGGTGGTGGCGCTGAGCCGCCTGAGGGTCAGGGAGGGTCAGGTGGTGGCGCTGAGCCGCCTGAGGGTCAGGGAGGGTCAGGTGGTGGCGCTGAGCCGCCTGAGGGTCAGGTGGTAGCACTGAGCCGCCCGAGGGTCAGGTGGCGGCGTCCTGCTAGCGCGTGGCGCTGAGCTGCCCGAGGGTCAGGCGTCCGCTGTTCTTAGTCTGGTCATGGCTCCAGCACTGCCCCGTGTGGCCCTTCCTGTGTCTCAGCGTTGGCGCTGGGCTCTGCTGGGGCCGCAGCTCTCCTCCAGCAGGGCTCACAGTGGCCTTAACTGGCTGCCCAAGCGCCGCCAGCCTCCTGTCCTTACAGCCTGCCAAGCAGACGGCCTGGCTGGGCAGGGCTCAGCCTGGCGGAGGGAGAGGCTCACTGGGCCCCGTGTCTGCGCAGGCCTCTCCTGGCATCAGGACGAGGGGGGGGTGGTGACTGCAGGAATCCTGATGTCTCTGCAAGGAGCCGCAGTTCTTGCCAAGGCCTGCAGGCCAGGCAGCGGAAGCGAGGCCCCCCCCCCCCCCCCCCCGTCTGCGACTGTAAGACCGGAGCCCTGTCGTGTCAGGAGGTGATGCCCTCTGCCCCCACCAGGCCCCTGCGTGGCCCTCCACCAGTCTGCCCTGTGGTGATGGGGCAAGGCGCACAGGGGACTGGGCCGGGAGGTGTGGGGCCTCCCTCGCCGCTGACCTGGCCTGTCTGTTTCCGCAGGTGGAGCTTTACAACTCAGACCCCCTGATCTGCCGCGCAGGGCTGAAGGTGTGCTTTGGCATCCAGCTGCTGAACGCGGTGTCGCGGGTGGAGCGCGCCCTGCCCAAGCTGACGGTGCCCTTCCTGCTGCTGCAGGGCTCTGCTGACCGGCTGTGCCACAGCAGGGGGGCCTACCAGCTCATGGGCTCCGCCCGGAGCCTGGACAAGACACTCAAGGTGAGCACGGCCCCGCTGCCCCTCAGGCCGCAGGCTCAGGTGCCCTGCGGCGGGCTGCGAGCGCCGGCTCACGCCTTGAGCTCAGGGAGAAGGGGGCCGTCGGGAGACGGTGGTTAGAAAAGAACCCAGAGGACACTGGGCAGATAAGCTCTGGGAGAGTGTCAGGTCCAAGCTCCAGGGCGGCCTTGAGCCTCCAGGAAGAGCAGGGGTTATATGACGCCCGTGGACCCTTGTCTGTGTGACACCCGTGGACCCTTGTCTGTGTGTGACACCCGTGGACCCTTGTCTGTGTGTGTGACGCCCGTGGACCCTTGTCTGTGAGTGTGACACCCGTGGACCCTTGTCTGTGTGTGACACCCGTGGACCCTTGTCTGTGTGTGTGACCCCCGTGGACCCTTGTCTGTGTGTGACGCCCGTGGACCCTTGTCTGTGTGTGTGACCCCCGTGGACCCTTGTCTGTGTGTGTGACACCCGTGGACCCTTGTCTGTGTGTGACGCCCGTGGACCCTTGTCTGTGTGTGTGACACCCGTGGACCCTTGTCTGTGTGTGACGCCCGTGGACCCTTGTCTGTGTGTGTGTGACACCCGTGGACCCTTGTCTGTGTGTGTGACGCCCGTGGACCCTTGTCTGTGTGTGACACCCGTGGACCCTTGTCTGTGTGTGTGACACCCGTGGACCCTTGTCTGTGTGTGTGACACCCGTGGACCCTTGTCTGTGTGTGACACCCGTGGACCCTTGTCTGTGTGTGTGACACCCGTGGACCCTTGTCTGTGTGTGACACCCGTGGACCCTTGTCTGTGTGTGTGACACCCGTGGACCCTTGTCTGTGTGTGTGACACCCGTGGACCCTTGTCTGTGTGTGACACCCGTGGACCCTTGTCTGTGTGTGTGACACCCGTGGACCCTTGTCTGTGTGTGTGACACTCGTGGACCCTTGTTTGTGTGTGTGACACCCGTGGACCCTTGTCTGTCTGTGTGACACCCGTGGACCCTTGTCTGTGTGTGACACCCGTGGACCCTTGTCTGTGTGTGACGCCCGTGGACCCTTGTCTGTGTGTGTGACACCCGTGGACCCTTGTCTGTGTGTGTGACACCCGTGGACCCTTGTCTGTGTGTGTGACACCCGTGGACCCTTGTCTGTGTGTGTGACACCCGTGGACCCTTGTCTGTGTGTGTGACACCCGTGGACCCTTGTCTGTGTGTGACGCCCGTGGACCCTTGTCTGTGTGTGTGACACCCGTGGACCCTTGTCTGTGTGTGACGCCCGTGGACCCTTGTCTGTGTGTGTGTGACACCCGTGGACCCTTGTCTGTGTGTGTGACGCCCGTGGACCCTTGTCTGTGTGTGTGTGACGCCCGTGGACCCTTGTCTGTGTGTGACACCCGTGGACCCTTGTCTGTGTGTGACACCCGTGGACCCTTGTCTGTGTGTGACACCCGTGGACCCTTGTCTGTCTGTGTGACACCCGTGGACCCTTGTCTGTGTGTGACACCCGTGGACCCTTGTCTGTGTGTGTGACACCCGTGGACCCTTGTCTGTGTGTGACCCCCGTGGACCCTTGTCTGTGTGTGACACCCGTGGACCCTTGTCTGTGTGTGTGACACCCGTGGACCCTTGTCTGTGTGTGTGACACCCGTGGACCCTTGTCTGTGTGTGACACCCGTGGACCCTTGTCTGTGTGTGTGACACCCGTGGACCCTTGTCTGTGTGTGTGACACGCGTGGACCCTTGTCTGTGTGTGACGCCCGTGGACCCTTGTCTGTGTGTGTGACACCCGTGGACCCTTGTCTGTGTGTGACCCCCGTGGACCCTTGTCTGTGTGTGACACCCGTGGACCCTTGTCTGTGTGTGTGACACCCGTGGACCCTTGTCTGTGTGTGACACCCGTGGACCCTTGTCTGTGTGTGTGTGACACCCGTGGACCCTTGTCTGTGTGTGTGACGCCCGTGGACCCTTGTCTGTGTGTGTGTGACGCCCGTGGACCCTTGTCTGTGTGTGACACCCGTGGACCCTTGTTTGTGTGTGTGACACCCGTGGACCCTTGTCTGTGTGTGTGACACCCGTGGACCCTTGTCTGTGTGTGTGACACCCGTGGACCCTTGTCTGTGTGTGTGACACCCGTGGACCCTTGTCTGTGTGACACCCGTGGACCCTTGTCTGTGTGTGTGACACCCGTGGACCCTTGTCTGTGTGTGACACCCGTGGACCCTTGTCTGTCTGTGTGACACCCGTGGACCCTTGTCTGTGTGTGTGACACCCGTGGACCCTTGTCTGTGTGTGTGACCCCCGTGGACCCTTGTCTGTCTGTGTGTGACACCCGTGGACCCTTGTCTGTGTGTGTGATGCCCGTGGACCCTTGTCTGTGTGTGACACCCGTGGACCCTTGTCTGTGTGTGTGACACCCGTGGACCCTTGTCTGTGTGTGTGACCCCCGTGGACCCTTGTCTGTCTGTGTGACGCCCGTGGACCCTTGTCTGTGTGTGACACCCGTGGACCCTTGTCTGTGTGTGTGATGCCCGTGGACCCTTGTCTGTGTGTGTGACACCCGTGGACCCTTGTCTGTGTGTGACACCCGTGAACCCTTGTCTGTGTGTGACACCCGTGGACCCTTGTCTGTGTGTGACACCCGTGGACCCTTGTCTGTGTGTGACACCCGTGGACCCTTGTCTGTCTGTGTGACACCCGTGGACCCTTGTCTGTGTGTGTGACACCCGTGGACCCTTGTCTGTGTGTGTGACCCCCGTGGACCCTTGTCTGTGTGTGTGACACCCGTGGACCCTTGTCTGTGTGTGTGACCCCCGTGGACCCTTGTCTGTCTGTGTGTGACACCCGTGGACCCTTGTCTGTGTGTGTGATGCCCGTGGACCCTTGTCTGTGTGTGTGACACCCGTGGACCCTTGTCTGTGTGTGTGATGCCCGTGGACCCTTGTCTGTCTGTGTGACGCCCGTGGACCCTTGTCTGTGTGTGACACCCGTGGACCCTTGTCTGTGTGTGTGACACCCGTGGACCCTTGTCTGTGTGTGTGACACCCGTGGACCCTTGTCTGTGTGTGTGACACCCGTGGACCCTTGTCTGTGTGTGTGATGCCCGTGGACCCTTGTCTGTCTGTGTGACGCCCGTGGACCCTTGTCTGTGTGTGACACCCGTGGACCCTTGTCTGTGTGTGTGATGCCCGTGGACCCTTGTCTGTGTGTGTGACACCCGTGGACCCTTGTCTGTGTGTGACACCCGTGAACCCTTGTCTGTGTGTGACACCCGTGGACCCTTGTCTGTGTGTGACACCCGTGGACCCTTGTCTGTGTGTGACACCCGTGGACCCTTGTCTGTCTGTGTGACACCCGTGGACCCTTGTCTGTGTGTGTGACACCCGTGGACCCTTGTCTGTGTGTGTGACCCCCGTGAACCCTTGTCTGTGTGTGACCCCCGTGAACCCTTGTCTGTGTGTGACACCCGTGGACCCTTGTCTGTCTGTGTGACACCCGTGGACCCTTGTCTGTGTGTGTGACACCCGTGGACCCTTGTCTGTGTGTGACACCCGTGGACCCTTGTCTGTGTGTGTGACACCCGTGGACCCTTGTCTGTGTGTGACGCCCGTGGACCCTTGTCTGTGTGTGTGATGCCCGTGGACCCTTGTCTGTGTGTGTGATGCCCGTGGCCCCTTAAACACTAAGACCTCCTGGGGAGTATAGGTAAATGCTGTGGGCAGGAAACTGGAGGAAAGTTCCAGAGTCATTTCATGTGGAGGGGTGTCTTGAAATTGAAGGAGTGTTGGGAGAGGGTGGGCTAGGGAGTCCCTGGACAGGGACGGTGGCTGGAGCTGAGCAGGAGGGCGGGAATGGGTGGCGGCTCAGCAGTGGGCGCAGAGGGCACAGCCCTCCCGCCGTCCTGGCTGTGTGGGCCGCCCTGGAGTCCAGGTACAAGAGGCATCGGGCAGTGTGGGGACAGGCCGCGGCCGTGCCGGGCCGGCCCTGACACCGCTGCGCCCCACAGATCTACGAGGGTGCCTACCACGTGCTGCACAAGGAGCTTCCCGAAGTCACCGACTCCGTCTTCCAGGAGATCAACACGTGGGTCTCGCAGAGGACAGCCCAGGCAGGGGCAGGGTCCCTACCCTGAGGGCCGCACGCCGCGCATGGCCCTCACGCCCGGCACACGGGAGACGAGGGCAGAGCTGGCTTCTCAGACGTGGCTCGCAGAAAACCCCAAAGCCAAACCAAAACAATTGGAGAAATCCTTAGCACAATTTACTTAAAAAGAAAAAGACGTCCTGGTCTGCCGCCGGACCTGCTTAAGGACGGGGGCCTCGTGCGTAGGAAAGGCCAGGCCGGTGAGATGGCTGAGTTCCCCCCCACCCCCCGCAGGGAGATGCCCCAACCGAGAAGCACAGCCTCCACCCACCTCCCCCAGCGCCGGGCGCGGGGTCACCGCAATAACCCAGCCCCCTCACCACCCTCTCCCTGGCCATTCTGGGCCTGAGCTGAGTGGCTGGTGGCAGGTCCCTGCGGCGCCAGCTGCCCCCCCCCCCCGGCACGTGCCCCGCACGCCCCTGGGACCCCGGGACCTCGTAGGTCCCGGCCGATGGGGAAGTGGGCATCCGGGCCCTGCCCAGCTGAGCCTGGCTCTCGTCTACCTTTCCTCCTGCCAGGAGGCATGGCCGCCCGCGGGGCACTGTGCACATCCCCCAGCCCCTTCCCCCCAACTTGCCTGAATGTGGAGGAGAGCCATGCGGAAGAGGAATTTCTAATAGAAAGCATATTCTAAAGCAGAGACGTATGGGTGGGGAGGTGGACTGCACAGAAGCTAGGCCAGCCTTTCCCCTCCCGGGTGGGGCAGTACCTCCCCCTCCCCGTGGGCGCCTAGGAGGCCATGGAACACGCGGTGTCCACCTGGGCCTGCAGTGGCCTGGGGCCCTCTGGTGGCAAGAGACCACCGTGCAGCCCCGGAGGACATAATGCAAGTGCCTGGCGACCCCGGGAGCCAGGGACGCCCCAGCGGGCCCCAGACCACAGCAGGACGGCTGCCCTCTCAGGTGCCCCGGCCCACCTGCCCTTGGCCTTGGCGCCAGCAATAAAGGGGGAGCGTGCACCACCCTGCCCCCGCAGCGGCTCTTCCATCTTTCAGTCAGGACTTGCGTTACCTCAAGCGTCTCATTGGTGAGCTGTGGGGCTGCAGGGCAGGACAGGAGGCCTGCTCAGCCCCAGGGCAGAGCCGGTGCCCAAGCCCCACACAAGGTGCGCTTCAGGGCCCATGGTCCTGCCCGCCACGGGCCCCTGCGTGGAGGCTGCTCCCTCCCTGAGTCAGGTCTGAGCTCCCAGAGCGTGGACCCTTGGCCCCGGCAACCCTGGCTGCACCGATGCTGAAGATCCTCTGGGGGGGCAGGTCGTGTCCACCGCCCAGGGCCTACGCACCCTCCAGGCAGAGGCCAGAGCTGACCCCGCCAGGCCCCTCTGCCCCGTGAAACCAGGCAGCCACGAGGCGTCGCTCCAAGCAGAAATCTCTCTCGGCCCCAAGTGCTCGGTGCCGGGGCCTGGAGCTGCGACTCCGCTTGGCGCCCGAGTCTTCCTGTCTCCCACCGTCCCCACACCCAGTGACGGCACCTGCTTGGCCCAGGGTGTCACTCAGATGCATGGTATTTTTTACATGAAAGCTCTTGTAGAGAAGCATTCAAACTCAGACATATTGATGTCTGGTTAAAGGATTCATACTGGTAAAGGGGGTGGAGTGATCCGGACTGGGACTGTTAGGTGGAGGGTGGAGGGTGGGGGTGTACTGCATTGGTGGATTAATCTGGAGATTCTGGGACCCGCCAGGTGCGCGCTGCTGCCTGCCCACTGCCCACTGCAGGGCGCCCTCTCTGGCATGCCAAAGCTGGCAGCTCTGGGCTGACCGGAGGAGTGGGTTTGGCAGGAATAACACAGCTCTGCCTGAGGGAGGAGGCTGGAGGGCAGGACCCAGGGCCCGGCTCCTGAAGAGCATTCTGGGAGACACCGGCCGGGAGGGGTGTGGCAGCCCCCGCCCCACCTCAACCCACAAGTGCTCTGGGAAGCACCCGGAGCACTGCGGCTGGAGCACCTCCGCGGCCTCCCTCCTGTCTGCCCCACACTGTCCTCTCCTCAGATTGTCACACACCGCTGCCTAGCGGGTCACATGACTCCTACTTGTCACTGTCACTGCGGCCTGACACGTGTCCACGTGTGTCTGCTTAGAAATATTAAAGGAACCAATGTGCGCTTCTGCGAACCCTAGTAAACCGGGTGTTTTCCGACAGTGTCCGGTGCGTGTGTGCCTGCCGGTCGGTCACAGCGGCCTGGTCTGTGTGACAGGCGTTTTGCAGAGAGGTTGCCATGCTGTGGCCAAGCAGCAGACGCCGCCTCAAGGCCAGTTCCAGACAATCCCACAAACCCACCCCGTCCCCACCTCGGCCCTCCTGCTGCACTGGCTCGGTGTGGCGCCAGACCCCCCTCCCCTCCCACTCCGGAGGCCCAGCGGCTCCACCCGGACAGTGTGGCCGTCAGGTCCTCCAAACTGAGGTACAGCCACTATCTCCGGCTCCACGGGGTCTGGAGCCACACACCCGATGAGGGACAAGCAATGGTGGCCAGGCGGCAGTGCCCAGTGGGAGGCACCTGTGGACTCTTCTCCCTGGGCTTTGACTTTGGGTTTTAATAGGAGAGGGGTAAGGGAGGGGCGGGGTTCCAAGGGTTAAACAGCCCAGGGGCCAGGCAGGAGGCCTGGAGGTCATTGTCTCGGGATTGCTTAGGTGGATCCTTCCATAGTACCAATCCCTGTGGCCTGCAGATGGTTGTCCTGTATGGGTGAGCCGTGGGGAGTCTGCTCCGTCTTTGCTGTTGTAGAGATGTCATCCACCATCTTCCCCACAGTCCAGGGTAGCTGCTGGAGAGCAGCTCGGGGCAGAGCACACAGGCTGGACAGTGTCCCACGTACAGGGCAGCACGTGAGGGCTGGGTGCCCTTAGCATCCAGGTGGATCCTGTCTGCAGCTCATTTGTGGCCAGAGTAAGGAGAAGGAACGCCCCACCAAAGCAGCTTCCAACACCTGCCGTGGGGAGGTGAGGGCCATCACAGACGTGCACTGTGGAGTCAGGGGAGGTGAGGGCCATCACAGACGTGAACTGTGGAGTCGGGGCCAGGGGAGGTGAGGGCCATCACAGACGTGCACTGTGGGGGGCCAGGGGAGGTGAGGGCCATCACAGACGTGAACTGTGGGGGGCCAGGGGAGGTGAGGGCCATCACAGACGTGAACTGTGGGGGGCCAGGGAGAGAGAAGACAGTGGCACATCCGCACAACCTCCACGGCCAAGGAAGCCTCCAGGGAGGGATCTGTGCATGGCCGCACTGGACCAGGCCCAGGGTTTCCCTCTCTTCCCCGCTGAGCCCTCAGCGGGCCCCTGCCCTTCCCTGGTACTGTAGCCTTGCCCTGAGAGAAGTAACTCCGCCAGGGCCGAGGGTGCAGTGACTGAATCCCTGCAAGAAGCTGGGCCAGGGCCTAGGCAGCGCCGCTCACAGTCAGCAGCCACTGTGGCCTGAGGTGGCTTCCGAGAGCCCAGCTCTCCCCTCAGCCCTACCTCATCGTAACAAAGCAGCAGGAAAATACCAACAAGGGCGCAGCAAATCCCAGACCCTGCACATAAATCCCAGCGAGAGATCACAAAATTCATAAACAAGGCAACATGTCTTCCTCAAAAACCAATAATGCCAGAATAAAGAAGTGACAACAGAGAGGAAGAAAGTCCAAGTAATGAGTTCAGCCAAACAATGATAACATGAACAAAGTAAACAAGTAGATGTGAACAAATGAGAATACAGCCAGCTGAATGAACCAAAAAAGACAATACAAAGTGTAGGAGAGGAATTCCAGAAAGACGGAAACACTGAAAAAATAAATCAGAATTCTGGAAACGAAGAGCTCAATTGTCCAAATGGTAAAATAATTAAATCTAAAAGTAATAAAGGACGTTGAAAACGGTCTGCCAAAGCTCCATGACAACGCATGGAAATTAGATAAAGCAGGGCATACCAAGATGACTTACAAGTTCTGGAAAATCTAGAAGAAATGAATAAAAATTTAAGTACAGTTGATCCACCAAAATTGAACCATGAGACTATATAAGCCACTTAAACAGCTATAACAAGTAATGAAATAGAAACAGTACTAAAGAGTCTTATAATAAAGAACCCAGGGCCAGACTCACAGCTCAGTTCTACCAGACCTTCAAAAAAGAACAAACACCAATACTCCTCAAACTCATGAAACAGAAATGGAAGGCTACCACACTCATACTATGAGGCAAGAATTAGGCTCATTCCAGGACTGGGAAGGTGGCTCAGTGGTAGAGTGCTTGTCTCACATGCATGAAGTCCTGGGTTCGATTCCTCAGTACCACATACACAGAAAAAGCCAGAAGTGGCACTGTGGCAAGTGGTAGAGCACTAGTCTTAAGCACAGAGAGGCTTAGGGACAGTGCTCAGGCCCTGAGTTCAAGTCCCAGGACAACCAAAAAAAAAATTATGCTCATTCCAAAGCCAGATGGAGATATAACAACAAAAAAAGATAATTTGAGAACATTGATGGGTAAAACAAATCATGAGAAGGGGTGTCCAGTCTCTCCACTCTTACTTAGTATGGTGCTAGAAATCCTAACCAGAGAAATGAGGCAGGAAATAAAAGGGATACAGATAGGAAAAAAGAAGAAATCAAAGTATCAGTATTTGCTAATGACATGATCCTGTACTGTACATGATCCTACAGAACCCATCATAAAACCTTCTAGAACTGATAAACACATTTGGAAAGACAGCAGGATATAAAACCAATACTCAAAATTCAATGCCCTTTCTACATACTAACAACAGGCTGGGAAAGAAATCAGGAATAGTTACAGTCACAAGTAGTTCCTAAAACCATCTCATACCTAAGCATTAACCAACATAAGAGACCTCTACATTGAAAACTATGAAACCTTGAAGGATAAAAAAACAGGTAAAAAAAACACCAGAACATGGAAAGACCTCCCACACTTGGGGATTGGCAAAAATCCATATCATTATGGCCATACTGTCGAAAGCAGTCTAGATGCAGTGCAAACTTACCAAAACTCCATTGTCACTACTCACAGAATTAGAGAAATCAATCCAAAAATTCATGTGCCGGCATAATGCTGAGCAGCAAAAGTGATGCTTTCTGCCGTTCATTACACGGGAGTAAGGCGGCGTGGGCGGGGCGCTGCCCAGCAGTCCCTTCAGTGGACCCCTCACCGTCCCTCTGGGGACCCTCAGCAGCTGCAGAGATTCACAGCACAGCTGAAGACAAGCTCCAGTTGTGTGGGCCCAGAAGCCCCAGCTAAGCAAGACCAGCCTCCCCCAACTCTCCATGACCCAACTGCAATTCTCACCCGGCCAGAGGGGGCGCACTGCCTCCGTGGCCCAACAGAGTGCTGTGATTGGTGCAAACACAGCCCTAATTTACATGAAGGGCTGCTGTGATTGGTGGAATGCCCCAGCCACGCCCCTCTCTGGCTGTAGAAGCTGGCTGGTCTCTTCTGCAGTGTATCTTTACTGGACCCAGCCTGGGAAAGTGGCAGCAACCCCAAAACTGATGAGGAAGCCGGGCACCGGTGGCTACTCAGGAGGCTGAGACCTGAGGGTCGCGGTTCAAAGCCGGCACAGGCAGGAGAGACCGCGACACTAATAAACCACTAGGGAACTGGAGGTGGCGCTGTGGCTCAAGCGGCAGAGCGCTCGCCTTGAGCTGAAGAGCGCAGGCCCAGGGCTCAAGCCCACGACGGACAACAAAAAAAGAACCACAGAAATGTAGAGCCAGGTCAGCTGAGGCTGAAGGCAAGGTCAGTGCGGCCTTGGTGGGGGAGCTGCACCGCTGGCCATGCAGCGTGCCGAGGCTCTGCCAGAGCAGTCCCGTGCCAGGGAAGCTGGTGGCTAAAGCCCAGGGCCCTGGGCCGCTACTGAGAGGGCATGGCCACGGGCCTGGCTGTGACCAGGGCCCTGGGCCGCTACTGAGAGGCCATGGCCACGGGCCTGGCTGTGACCAGGGCAGCCCTGGCTCCGGAGGCTCCAGCCCCGGGGAGGATTGCCTCGAGTCCAGTCCCAGCCAGCTGAGGGGACAGGGCCGTTTATTTGCCTACCACAGCAGCGTACCCACGGTCCCCATTCTTAAGAGGAGGTGCTGTGTGCTGCAGTGGGGAAGCTGCCCACGCCCCAGCCCGCGGCCCGGCTTCGGGGCGCGGTGCTGACACGCCTTGGCTGGAGGCCTGCTCGCCACAGCAGCAAGCCAGGAAGCGTCGATCCGTTTTCCCGACTTCCTCCGTGGTCTGGAGTGGAGATGGAAGCTACAAGAAGGCAGGTCAGTGTCCTAGCGGGCTGTTCCACAGAGGTCTGAACAGAGGCCCGAATGTCTTTTCCTGACCTTGGCACACCAGGGTGGGTGTGGCCGGAGGCCTCTAGTCTGGCCTTTCTGGCCACCAAAGCAAGGTTTATTGTTTTTTTGTTGGTTGCCGGGCTTGAACTCAGCCTGGGCGCTGTCCCTCAGCTCTTCAGCTCAAGGCTAGCGCTCTACTACTTGAGCCACAGCGCTGTGGTTTTCTGAGCGGTTTATTGGAGATAAGTCTCACAGACTCTCCTGCCCAGGCTGGCTTTGAACCTCGATCCTCTCAGCCTCCTGAGTCGCTAGGATTACAGGCGTGAACCACTGGCGCCCGGCTTAAAGTGAGACTTTGAAAATGCAAGCCTGCTGACTCCTCCCACCGGGCAGCCTGCACCTGGCATCAATATGGTCCTTATACCTTCAACTGCCAGTGCACTGGTGGGTAAATGGAGGCAGAGCAGAGCCCAGTAGGGAGAGGCACGGCAGACCAGGGTGACACTGGCCTCTTCCCGCAGATGAGCCCAGCCCTGAGGCCCCCGGGGAGCCGTCTCTCTGGCTCCAGACAGGCAAATGCCCTCTGCCAGCTCCTGGTGCAGCCCCTCCCTCCCCATCTTTACCTCCCCCAGTGCGACTGAAAGAAACAAAAAATGAAAATGTTCTAGACAGGGAAGATAAGATCCGAAACGTTCTAGGAAAGGGCAGGGGTGGGGTCAGGGCCGCTGGGTGGACGCCCGAGCCACCGCTCCCCAAAGCCTGCCCCACCTGGCTGCGCTGGACAGACAGCCTCACGGTGAATTCAAGCTTTATTACCACAGACACCCCTGGCCCTCCCACCCCGCTTGCCAGGGTGGGCAGGGGCAGGCACCACAGGCCCGAGCGCCCACCCCAGCCCTGGGCCCCACGGCTCCCCCCCCCCAAACCCTCCCCATCACCCAGGGCCGTGGAGAGGGGAATCCCAGACCCCTGCACAGCAACAGGGCCCTCAGGTACGCAAGGAGACGCCCACGCACACACACACCTGTCCCCAAAGACCCTCAGGTGTTCAAGGAGACCGCTCCTGCACCCCCCCCACACACACACACACACGCCGCCCCTGGACGGGGCTCTGGGCTCCACGAGGCTCAGCAGTCCAGGCCGATGGACACCAGCAGGTCCTCGAGCGCCCGCAGCCGCTGCTGGGCCTCCTCGATGGCGCTGTAGGTCTGCACCGTGCTGGCCACGTGGAAGCGGATGTCATCCACCAGGGGGATGGAGTCGGTCTCCTGCCGGGCCGCCACGGCGGCCGCCTCCTCCCTCACCGCCTCCTCGAAGTCCTCCCGCTCCACCAGCTGCGGACAGGGACGGTCGCTCAGCCCGGCCGCACCCCGCCCTGGCCCCCGGCCGCACCCCGCCCTGGCCCCCGGCCCCCCGCCCCCCGGCCCCCCCCCACCTTCTCGATGACTTTGGCCATGTACTCAGTGCACTGGTCCTCGAGCCGCGCCAGGCGGAAGAGCTTGGCCACGCGCCACACGCTCACCACATTGTCCTCGTCCAGGGTCTGGGCCAGGCTGCGGCCACACAGCCGCTTCAGGCCTGGCAGCAGGTACATGTCAGCCACTCTCAACACGTCGTAGGCTGCCTCAGGCAGCAGCTGTGATAAAAGGAGGAGCAGAGTTGCGCCCCACAGCAGCGCGGGTTCCCTGGCCCAAGGGCTGGTGCTGGGCTCGTTTGGGAGGAGGGTGGATGTGCTGGTGGGAGCAGCAGCAGCCCCCTGAGCTCCTGCAGCCTGGCCCTGGTCCCCACCAGGGGCCAGCAGGAGAAAACATCCCTGCCCGTCACAGCCGGGGCTCCGCCTCGTGTGGCTGTGGGGCCCAGGGCAAATCCCTTCACCTCTCCAGCCTCTGTCACATGAGACCAAGGAGGCCGCCAGGCGCGTCCCACCGTCTCCAGTGGGCAGCAAAGAAACTTGCCCCGAGTCACACAGCCTGAGAGGCCAGCTCCAGGTCAAGCCTGGTTTGGTGTCCCATCCACTCCCCACAGACCTGGGCAAGCAGGCCTGAATTCTGCACGTGCAGAGGACAAGGTCCTGCGCAGGCGGGAGGCCGAGGTGGCCCCTCCTGTACACTGAACTCTCCTGGCCCAGGCCCATCCCCGCGGCCCCAGCTGCTCCATCATGGAGCCTGGAGCCTGAGACCCCAGCCTTCCGAGAAGCCTGGCGGCCCTGCCGGGCAGGTCAGCACAGCCACCCACAGGACACACGCCTCAGACCAAAAGACAAGCTCCTGCATCCATGGGTCAGCTGACAGGGCCCACGCCTGCCACGGAACCCCACACTGCCACGTGACAGGGGCCACACCCGCGCCTGCCACGGAACCCCACACTGCCACGTGACATGGGGCCACACCCGCGCCTGCCACGGAACCCCACACTGCCACGTGACATGGGGCCACACCCGCGCCTGCCACGGAACCCCACACTGCCACGTGACAGGGGCCACACCCACGCCTGCCACGGAACCCCACACTGCCACGTGACATGGGGCCACACCCACGCCTACCACGGAACCCCACACTGCCACGTGACGGGACGCGCTCACGCCTGCCACGGAACCCCACACTGCCACGTGACGGGCCACACCCACGCCTGCCACGGAACCCCACACTGCCACGTGACATGGGGCCACACCCACGCCTACCACGGAACCCCACACTGCCACGTGACATGGGGCCACACCCACGCCTGCCACGGAACCCCACACTGCCACGTGACGGGCCACACCCACGCCTGCCACGGAACCCCACACTGCCACGTGACAGGGGCCACACCCACGCCTGCCACGGAACCCCACACTGCCACGTGACAGGGGCCACGCCCACGCCTGCCACGGAACCCCACACTGCCACGTGACATGGGGCCACACCCGCGCCTACCACGGAACCCCACACTGCCACGTGACATGGGGCCACACCCACGCCTGCCACGGAACCCCACACTGCCACGTGACGGGCCACACCCACGCCTGCCACGGAACCCCACACTGCCACGTGACAGGGGCCACACCCACGCCTGCCACGGAACCCCACACTGCCACGTGACAGGGGCCACGCCCACGCCTGCCACGGAACCCCACACTGCCACGTGACAGGGGCCACACCCACGCCTGCCACGGAACCCCACACTGCCACGTGACAGGCCACACCCACGCCTGCCACGGAACCCCACACTGCCACGTGACAGGGGCCACACCCACGCCTGCCACAGAACCCCACACTGCCACGTGACAGGGGCCACGCCCACGCCTGCCACGGAACCCCACACTGCCACGTGACGGGCCACACCCACGCCTGCCACGGAACCCCACACTGCCACGTGACATGGGGCCACACCCACGCCTGCCCTGGAACCCCACACTGTCTGCAGTCAGTGCAAGAGAAGGCGCCCGCCCCTCTCCCTCCCACACGGAAGGGGCAGCCTGACATGTCCAAGTGTCACCACCTCAGGACAGGAAGCCTGCCCCCTTCTGCCCCCCCAAAAACCATCCACTGCGATCCTGCAGCCCCCTTCTGTGGGGAGAGTGTGGCTTGGGGGGAGAGCGTGGCTGGGCCCCACTTGGACGGACCTCAGTGTGGTCACTGTACACGTAGAACAGCACGTGGGTGAAGACCTCGGGTGAGATGCCCTGCAGGGTGACGGTTGTGGGCGCCCCGGGGGCCCCTGGCTCCTTGCTCTCGCAGAAGTGGTCCTCCAGCAGGGCCCGGAAGTAGTCGCTGCGGCCACAGAAGAAAGCCTGGGGGCGGTGGGTGCCGGAGAGCCGGGGCTGGGGTCTCCCCGGGGTCCCTGGACCCGGGCCGTGGTTCTCTGCCCACAGGCCCGGGGGGGGGGGGGGGGGGAGAGGGCTCAGGGCGGTGGTGGGGGCATGCGGGGGGGGGGGAGGGCTCAGGGCGGTGGGGGGGCATGCGGGGGGGGAGGGAGGGCTCAGGGTGGTGGTGGGGGCATGCGGGGGGCTGAGGGGGGGAGGGCTCAGGGTGGTGGTGGGGCATGCGGGGGGGGGGAGGGCTCAGGGCGGTGGTGGGGGCATGCGGGGGGCTGAGGGGGGGAGGGCTCAGGGCGGTGGTGGGGGGGCATGTGGGGGGCTGGGGGGGGAGGGCTCAGGGTGGTGGTGGGGGCATGCGGGGGGGGAGGGAGGGCTCAGGGTGGTGGTGGGGCATGCGGGGGGGGGGGAGGGAGGGCTCAGGGTGGTGGTGGGGGCATGCGGGGGGGGGGGAGGGAGGGCTCAGGGCGGTGGTGGGGCATGCGGGGGGGGGAGGGCTCAGGGCGGTGGTGGGGCATGTGGGGGGGGGGGAGGGCTCAGGGTGGTGGTGGGGGCATGCGGGGGGGGGAGGGAGGGCTCAGGGCGATGGTGGGGCATGTGGGGGGGAGGCTCAGGGCGGTGGTGGGGGCATGCGGGGGGGGGGAGGGAGGGCTCAGGGCGGTGGTGGGGGCATGCGGAGGGGGGAGGGAGGGCTCAGGGCGGTGGTGGGGGCATGCGGGGGGGGGGAGGGAGGGCTCAGGGCGGTGGTGGGGGCATGCGGAGGGGGGAGGGAGGGCTCAGGGCGGTGGTGGGGGCATGCGGGGGGGGGGGAGGGCTCAGGGTGGTGGTGGGGCATGCGGGGGGGGGGGGGGGGGGAGGGCTCAGGGCGGTGGCGGGTATCGGAGGGGGGACAGGCACACCTTGTGGCAGAGAAAGCTGCAGTCCTCCACGCGGAAGCAGATGTCAGGACAGCTGTTGAAGTTGTCCGGGCACGGAAAGGGCAGCTCACCCAGGTCGCCCTGCTACAAGATGGCAGCCGCCTCAGCCCGAGCAGCGAGAAGGGAGACCAGAACCCAGCCACCGCAGCCGGCTCCGTGCGGCCTGCCCTGCCCCACCCTGCTCCTACCCCTCACCCCTGCTCCTGCCCCACCCTGCTCCTACCCCTCCCTGCTCCTACCCCCACCCTGCTCCTACCCCACCCTGCTCCTGCCCCACCCTGCTCCTACCCCTCACCCTGCTCCTGCCCCCACCCTGCTCCTACCCCACCCTGCTCCTACCCCACCCTGCTCCTACCCCTCCCTGCTCCTACCCCACCCTGCTCCTGCCCCACCCTGCTCCTACCCCCACCCTGCTCCTACCCCTCACCCCTGCTCCTACCCCCACCCTGCTCCTACCCCCACCCTGCTCCTACCCCCACCCTGCTCCTACCCCTCCCTGCTCCTACCCCCACCCTGCTCCTACCCCTCACCCTGCTCCTACCCCCACCCTGCTCCTACCCCACCCTGCTCCTACCCCACCCTGCTCCTACCCCACCCTGCTCCTATCCCTCCCTGCTCCTACCCCCACCCTGCTCCTACCCCCACCCTGCTCCTACCCCCACCCTGCTCCTACCCCCACCCTGCTCCTACCCCTCCCTGCTCCTGCCTCACCCTGCTCCTACCCTCACCCTGCTCCTACCCCACCCTGCTCCTACCCCTCACCCCTGCTCCTACCCCACCCTGCTCCTACCCCTCACCCTGCTCCTACCCCACCCTGCTCCTACCCCACCCTGCTCCTACCCCTCACCCTGCTCCTACCCCCACCCTGCTCCTACCCCACCCTGCTCCTACCCCTCACCCTGCTCCTACCCCACCCTGCTCCTACCCCACCCTGCTCCTGCCCCCACCCTGCTCCTACCCCACCCTGCTCCTACCCCCACCCTGCTCCTGCCCCTCACCCTGCTCCTGCCCCTCACCCTGCTCCTGCCCCCACCCTGCTCCTGCCCCACCCTGCTCCTGCCCCACCCTGCTCCTACCCCCACCCTGCTCCTACCCCTCACCCCTGCTCCTACCCCCACCCTGCTCCTGCCTCACCCTGCTCCTACCCCACCCTGCTCCTGCCTCACCCTGCTCCTACCCCACCCTGCTCCTGCCCCTCACCCTGCTCCTACCCCCACCCTGCTCCTACCCCCACCCTGCTCCTGCCTCACCCTGCTCCTGCCCCACCCTGCTCCTGCCCCACCCTGCTCCTACCCCTCACCCTGCTCCTACCCCACCCTGCTCCTGCCCCCACCCTGCTCCTACCCCACCCTGCTCCTGCCCCACCCTGCTCCTGCCCCACCCTGCTCCTGCCCCACCCTGCTCCTACCCCACCCTGCTCCTGCCCCCACCCTGCTCCTACCCCCACCCTGCTCCTGCCTCACCCTGCTCCTGCCCCACCCTGCTCCTACCCCACCCTGCTCCTGCCCCCACCCTGCTCCTACCCCACCCTGCTCCTACCCCACCCTGCTCCTGCCCCACCCTGCTCCTACCCCCACCCTGCTCCTACCCCCACCCTGCTCCTACCCCTCACCCTGCTCCTACCCCCACCCTGCTCCTACCCCTCACCCTGCTCCTACCCCCACCCTGCTCCTACCCCACCCTGCTCCTACCCCTCCCTGCTCCTACCCCCACCCTGCTCCTACCCCTCACCCTGCTCCTGCCCCCACCCTGCTCCTGCCCCCACCCTGCTCCTACCCCACCCTGCTCCTACCCCTCCCTGCTCCTACCCCCACCCTGCTCCTACCCCTCACCCTGCTCCTACCCCCACCCTGCTCCTGCCCCACCCTGCTCCTGCCCCACCCTGCTCCTGCCCCCACCCTGCTCCTACCCCACCCTGCTCCTACCCCTCCCTGCTCCTACCCCCACCCTGCTCCTACCCCTCACCCTGCTCCTACCCCACCCTGCTCCTGCCCCACCCTGCTCCTACCCCCACCCTGCTCCTGCCCCACCCTGCTCCTACCCCCACCCTGCTCCTGCCCCCACCCTGCTCCTACCCCACCCTGCTCCTACCCCTCACCCTGCTCCTACCCCTCACCCCTGCTCCTACCCCCACCCTGCTCCTGCCCCACCCTGCTCCTGCCCCCACCCTGCTCCTACCCCTCCCTGCTCCTGCCCCACCCTGCTCCTGCCCCACCCTGCTCCTACCCCACCCTGCTCCTGCCCCACCCTGCTCCTGCCCCCACCCTGCTCCTACCCCTCACCCTGCTCCTACCCCACCCTGCTCCTGCCCCACCCTGCTCCTACCCCTCACCCTGCTCCTACCCCCACCCTGCTCCTACCCCCACCCTGCTCCTACCCTTCACCCTGCTCCTGCCCCACCCTGCTCCTGCCCCACCCTGCTCCTGCCCCACCCTGCTCCTGCCCCACCCTGCTCCTGCCCCACCCTGCTCCTACCCCCACCCTGCTCCTACCCCTCACCCTGCTCCTACCCCCACCCTGCTCCTACCCCCACCCTGCTCCTACCCCTCACCCTGCTCCTGCCCCACCCTGCTCCTGCCCCACCCTGCTCCTACCCTACCCTGCTCCTACCCCACCCTGCTCCTGCCCCACCCTGCTCCTACCCCCACCCTGCTCCTACCCCTCACCCTGCTCCTACCCCCACCCTGCTCCTACCCCTCACCCTGCTCCTACCCCCACCCTGCTCCTACCCCACCCTGCTCCTACCCCTCCCTGCTCCTACCCCCACCCTGCTCCTACCCCTCACCCTGCTCCTACCCCCACCCTGCTCCTGCCCCCACCCTGCTCCTGCCCCCACCCTGCTCCTGCCCCACCCTGCTCCTACCCCCACCCTGCTCCTGCCCCCACCCTGCTCCTACCCCACCCTGCTCCTACCCCTCACCCTGCTCCTACCCCTCACCCCTGCTCCTACCCCCACCCTGCTCCTGCCCCACCCTGCTCCTGCCCCCACCCTGCTCCTACCCCCACCCTGCTCCTGCCCCACCCTGCTCCTGCCCCACCCTGCTCCTACCCCACCCTGCTCCTACCCCACCCTGCTCCTGCCCCACCCTGCTCCTACCCCCACCCTGCTCCTACCCCTCACCCTGCTCCTACCCCCACCCTGCTCCTACCCCTCACCCTGCTCCTACCCCCACCCTGCTCCTACCCCACCCTGCTCCTACCCCTCCCTGCTCCTACCCCCACCCTGCTCCTACCCCTCACCCTGCTCCTACCCCCACCCTGCTCCTGCCCCCACCCTGCTCCTACCCCTCCCTGCTCCTACCCCCACCCTGCTCCTACCCCTCACCCTGCTCCTACCCCCACCCTGCTCCTGCCCCACCCTGCTCCTGCCCCACCCTGCTCCTACCCCCACCCTGCTCCTGCCCCCACCCTGCTCCTACCCCACCCTGCTCCTACCCCCACCCTGCTCCTACCCCCACCCTGCTCCTACCCCCACCCTGCTCCTACCCCTCACCCTGCTCCTACCCCACCCTGCTCCTGCCCCACCCTGCTCCTACCCCCACCCTGCTCCTGCCCCACCCTGCTCCTACCCCCACCCTGCTCCTGCCCCCACCCTGCTCCTACCCCACCCTGCTCCTACCCCTCACCCCTGCTCCTACCCCACCCTGCCTGCTCCTGCCCCACCCTGCTCCTACCCCACCCTGCTCCTACCCCCACCCTGCTCCTGCTCCTGCCCCCACCCTGCTCCTACCCCTCACCCTGCTCCTGCCCCCACTCTGCTCCTACCCCTCACCCTGCTCCTGCCCCTCACCCCTGCTCCTGCCCCTCACCCCTGCTCCTGCCCCCATGGGGCCTACCCCCCCACACCCGCCTGTGCTTACTCGCAGCTCCGGAGGCAGAGCACAGTGGGCCAGCAACGCCATGTCCTCTCGGAGCCGGGGGTGGGTGGGAGGGGGCTCAATGGTCAGCACTTTGACACACGTGCCCGGCTTAGAAGCCACTAGGAAGGGAGAGCAGCTTCAGGGGGCCAGGCTGGTCCTGCCTGCTGCCACCCGGGGCATCGGCTGGGGCCTGGACGCACCGAACTCAGACACCTTCTCACACTTGGCCTCCAGATCGTCCAGCAGGTCCCACAGCTGGCACTGCTTAGCCAGGCGCTCACAGTCACCAACGTGCTCCACACCCACATCCAGGCGGCCTGGGCAGGGGGTGGGGGAATCAGGTGTGGGCGGTTCAGATGGGGAGGGGGAGGGTCAGGCCCTGGGGGGGTCAGGTGGGGGGCACAGCGGTCTCCCTGGGTGAGGCCCTCCCGCTCAGCCCACCTGCCAGGACAAGGATCACTCAGGGCCTGCCCTCGCCTGGGTTTCCCCTCCAGGGCCCACGGGTCTGCTCAGGCTGCATGTGGCTCAAGCCCCCAGGCCTCAGGGACAGCCGGGAGGCGGGTCCACCCCCCTCCTCCCTGCCCTCCCTATGCCCTCCCCCTGCCCTCCTCCCTTCCCCCGCCCCCCCCCCCTGCACCCAGGGGCTCCCGGGCGGGCAGCCGGGGTCACCTGTGTACAGGTACTGCAGTAGGGCCCCAAAGGCCACGGGGTTGATCTGCGGAGACACGGGCAGGGGTCAGGGTGGCGGCCGGGCGGCGAGCCCCGCGCCGGGCCCCGGGCCGCACCAGGGGGTGCCGGAGGACCACCGCGCTCTTGCTCTTCCACTTGGTGTCCAGCATGTTGGCGAAGTAGGCGCTGCGCGCGCCCAGGATGCAGCGGTGCGCCCGGAACGGCTTTCCGTGCACGACAAACACCACGTCGCTGTGGATGCCCTGCTCCAGGAGCCTGTGGGGCGTGAACGGGCATGGAGGGGTCACGGTGGGCCCGCTGGGTGCGGGGAGGGGCGCGGACCAGAGCAGGGCGCGCGGGGCGCGGACCAGAGCAGGGCGCGCGGGGCGCGGGGCGCGGACCAGAGCAGGGCGCGCGGGGCGCGGGGCGCGGACCAGAGCAGGGGGCGCGGGGTGCGCGGGCCCCGCCCTCCCGGCGAGCCCCGCCCACCCGCGGCCCAGACTCCTCCTCCGCCAAGCCCCACCCACCACCGGCCCCCGCCCCGCCCAACGCCAGGCCCCACCCACCACTGCCCCCCTGCCCGCCGCCAGGCCCCACCCACCGCCGGCCCCGCCCCGCCCGCCGCCAGGCCCCACCCACCGCCGGCCCCGCCCCGCCCGCCGCCAGGCCCCACCCACCGCCGGCCCCGCCCCGCCCGCCGCCAGGCCCCACCCACCGCCGGCCCCGCCCCGCCCGCCGCGGCTCACCGCTGCAGGAAGTCGTCGTAGTAGTCCCGCCTCCGGCAGGCGGCCGTGACGTGCTTGTAGTCGCGCAGCGCGCGGCGGATGGAGTCGCTCAGCGCGCCGTAGAGGCAGCGCTCGCCGTCGAACGTGTTGGCCTCGCAGCGGGCCCCTGGGGCGGCAGGGCTCAGCCGTCAGCGGGCGGCGCGCCCTCCTCCCGCGCCCCGCGGGCCTCCTCCGCCGGCGGCCTCCCGCGCCCCGGGCCTCCGCCCTCCGCCCTCCTCCGCCGGCGGCCTCCCGCGCCCCGGGCCTCCGCCCTCCGCCCTCCGCCCTCCTCCGCCGGCGGCCTCCCGCGCCCCGGGCCTCCGCCCTCCGCCCTCCTCCTCCGCAGGCGGCCTCCCGCGCCCCGGGCCTCCGCCCTCCGCCCTCCTCCGCCGGCGGCCTCCCGCGCCCCGGGCCTCCGCCCTCCGCCCTCCGCCCTCCTCCGCCGGCGGCCTCCCGCGCCCCGGGCCTCCGCCCTCCGCCCTCCCGGCGCGGCCCGCGCCGGCCGCCGTGCTCACCGCTGGCCAGCAGGTAGCGCACCAGCTCCTCGTGCCCGCACAGGCAGGCGTAGTACCTGCGGGCGGCGGGCGGGCGCTGTCAGCGGAGGCCGCCCCGCGCCCGCGCCCGCCCGCGCCCCGCACTCACAGCGGGGTGCTGTCCCACTTGTCGCGGACGTTCACCTCCGCGTCCCGCTGCTCCAGCAGGTACCTGGGCCGAGGAGGAGCGCGGGTCAGCGCGCGGGCCCTCCTCCGGGCGCCCTGCCGAGGCCCCGGGCCCGGCCCCCGCCCGCGCCCCGCGCGTCCTCACCGCACGCGGCCCACGTCCCCCTTCCTGCAGCTGGCGAACAGGTCGCTGGTGTCCATGACGGGAGGCTCGGCCGGCGGAACGACCTCGGGAGGCGCCGGCGGATGTAAACACGCCCCGCCCCGCCCCGCCCTTCCCGGCCTACCCGGGCAGGTTGGCTCCGCAGCGGCGCCTGGCGCCCGGAGGACCGGTGCCGAGCGTAGAACGGGCCGCCCGGAAGGCCGCCCCGGGCCCCGCCCACCGCCCTGAGGGCCGCCCCAGACCCCGCCCACCGCCCTGAGGGCCGCCCCGGGCCCCGCCCACCGCCCTGAGGACCGCCCCGGGCCCCGCCCACCGCCCTGAGGGCCGCCCCGGACCCCGCCCACCGCCCTGAGGGCCGCCCCGGGCCCCGCCCACCGCCCTGAGGACCGCCCCGGACCCCGCCCATCACCCTGAGGACCGCCCCTCGCCCCGGAGGACTGCTCCGGCCCCGCCTATTGCCCTGGAGGACCGCCCCGGACCCGCCCACAGCCCTGAGGACGCCCCCAGGCCCCGCCCACCGCCCTGAGGACCGCCCCATACCCCGTCCATCACCCTGAGGACCGCCCTCTGGCCCGCCCATCACCCTGGAGGGCCGCCCTGGGCCACGCCCACAGCCCTGAAGACTGTCCCAGGCCCCGCCCGTCACCCCGGAGGACCGCCCCTGCCCCGCCCATCGCCCTGAGGACCCCCAGGCCCCGCCCATCGCCCCGCCCCCGGGACGCAGGAAGGAGGCGTCAAGCAGAGGCCCACGCGGTCTCGGGCGGCTTTAATGGAGTCCGAGCGGGCGGCGCCCCGGCGGGCGCGGCTCCGGGGCCGGGGCCGGGCGCGGCGTCACAGGTGGGTGTCCTCCTCGAACGCGTCCGAGTCCTCGGGGTCGCGCTTGGCGCCCATGAGCGCACTCCAGCCCCCGGGGCCGCCGTTGAGGCTGGGCTGCTTCTCCTGCGCCTCCGTCTGGCCGTCGCTGGCCACGTCCAGCGTGGGGTTGTCGTGGCAGCCGTTCTCCACGAAGCGGAGCTCCTCGCCGTGGGCCTGCGGGGACCCAGAGGCCGCTGGGGCCGAGCGCGAGCCAGGCCGGCCGGCCCCGCGCCCCGCGCCCCGCACCCCGGCTGCGGCGGGCCGGTGCGAGCACTTCACCCCGGGGACCCGCCCGCCCCGCACCCCGCACCCCGCACCCCGGCTGCGGCGGGCCGGTGCGAGCACTTCGCCCGGGGACCCGCCCGCACCCCGCACCCCGCACCCCGCACCCCGGCTGCGGCGGGCCGGTGCGAGCACTTCACCCCGGGACCCGCCCGCCCCGCACCCCGCACCCCGCACCCCGGCTGCGGCGGGCCGGTGCGAGCACTTCACCCCGGGACCCGCCCGGCCCGGCCCGCCGCGCTCACCACGCGCTCAAGCTTGGGCAGCCGGCGCTGCCAGCAGTTGTAGAGCAGGCCCAGCACGATGATGAGGAAGCAGACGACGCCGATGACCACCAGCACCACGAACAGCGTCCCGTAGTCGCTGCGCACCTGGGTGGCCCGCGCCTGGCAGCTGCTGGTGGTGGAGTAGTTCTGGATTCCGATCTGGGGTCAAGGGGCAAGTTCCTGAGGGGGGGGATTGGGGGGGACGGCGGGGGGGGGGGGGGGGGGGAGGGAGAGGACGGGACGCGCCTTGCCCCGGGCTCGGGAGGAACTAGGACTAGAGCACCAAGTAGGCCCTGGGGCCTGGACCCAGGCTCAGGGAAAACCCCACCCCACCCCCTGCCGGGGCTGGCACCCCAGCCCTCCCTGCTGCTGACCCCACACCCCTGCCGGGTGCTCACTCCACTCACATGGACCCCAAGCTGCTGGCCACAGCCCCACTGGGCGGGACCCCTGTTAAGTAGAGACAGAGCCCCCCCCCCCCCCAGCCCGCACCTTCAGGGTGGGGGGCACAGTGCTTGTGTTTGGCTGCTGAGACCCGGGAACACTGTGGACACAGCAGCGGGCATCGCCAGCCTCCCTCTCCCAGCACAGGGGCCTGAGGCAGGCCCGCACCAGCAGAAGGAAGGGAGGGCAAGGAGGGCCTGCGGGACTGGGCAGGCTCTGACGCGCAGGCCAGGGCGCACTGCACCCCTTCCCGAGATCCTGACGCGCAGGCCAGGGCGCACTGCACCCCTTCCCGAGATCCGGCTTTGGCCCCTGCAGTTTTGTTGAACCGCTTGTATATTCCCAGCAAGTCTCTCCAGGTTTTATCTGTTTTGGTGCCAGGCCTAGGGCTTGAACTCAGGGCCTGGGCACCGTCCCTAAGCTTTTCTGTTCAAGGCTACTGCTCTACCACTTGAGCCACAGCACCTCTTCTGACTTTTGGTGATTAATTGGACATAAGAGTCTCATGGCCTTTCTTGCCCAGGTTGGCTTCAAACCTTCATCCTCAGATCTCAGCCTCCTGAGTAGCAAGAGACACTGCTGCCCGGCTCTCATTTTTTAAGTTAGCAGACGTCATGTTTTTGCTAGTCACCGACCAACACGCCAACTCTACCCACTTCCATACTCTACCAAAGACCCAGCATGCTTTTGAGCCAAGTGAGTGTGAACTGAGAACCTGTAAGGGCAAAACGCCCAGATGCGAGGAGCGGAAGTGGACCAGCGTGCACAAGGCGGTCAGCCAGCCCAAGTGTCCACACTCTGCCCCGCACACCCGTGTTCCCAAGATGAAGACCCTCAGCCCTCAGCAGCCCCAGGCAATGCAAAGGTGCTTGCCCCCCCTCCCCCCTGCAGGCTCTATTGGAGTGTGCTCACCCCCCTCCCCCCTGCAGGCTCTATGGGAGCACGCTCCCCCCCCCCCCCCGCCCAGCCCCGCCCCCAAAGGAGCCTGTTGGAGACTGAGGGCTGCACGGAGTGGTCTGTGCATGTGGTATTTACTAAGAACAATGGTGCCTCCCTGGCCTGTGGCAGGTGAGGAGGCCCGTCACACTCTCCACTCAGCCCCCAAGAGCAAGGAGGGCCGGCCACTCCTGCTCAGGTCCACGAGATGGCTTAGGGCCAGAGGCTCACACCTGTGATCCCAGCTACTCAGGAGGCTGAGATCTGAGGATTGCGGTTCAAACCCAGCCCAGGCAGGAAAGTCATGAGACCCTTATCTCCCCAAGACTGGTGCACACACACCAGACGGCTTGGGTCAGGGTAGCAGCTGTGAGAATGGAAAGGCTGTGGGGCCCGGGCCTCTGTGGGGGCCAGGCCCAGGCCCCCGAGATCGGGGCCCAACCCAGTCTCCAAGCCGGGACTGGGGCCAGGCCGGAGATCCTGTAACTGTCCTGCAGCCTTGCCCTGGGCATTCCCGTGTCCATGGCGGCCCACTTTCCACCCCTCAGGCCCCGCCCCGCCCCGCCCTCGGCCCCGGCCCTGGCTTTGCTAGCAGCGTACACCTGTCCCGAGAGCCCGCACTTGTCGGGCCGGGCCAGCTGCCGACACACAGCGTTGGCCCACTCACCTCCTCCAGGCTCCGGCGGATGCTGCCCAGCACGGAGAGCACATCCTGGGTGGGCACCACCCCTAGGGGACAAAGTCACCATCAGCAGACGGGGCCCCGGGGCCCTCCAGGGGACGCCAGCCCCCTCCCCCCCACTGAAGCCCCACTGATCACAGCCCTCAGCGGGGAGCACGTGGGGCAGGCGTGAACACGCGCGGCTCCCACAGCTCGGCCCGCCAGCCGGTCCCCCACGCAGCGCCAGGCCCGATCCCCCGCCGCCCCAGGCTCGGGCCGAGCCTGGCCGCCCGGCAGCCCGCCTCACCCTGCTCGCCCACCAGCGTCATCAGCAGGTGTTGCTCCTTCTCACTGGGCTTGCTCAGGGAGATGCGCCAGGCGCCGCGGCCCCGGCCGGGCAGCGCCTCCTCCACCAGTGCCAGCAGCTGCAGGCCCCGGTGCCGCCGGAACGCCTCCTGCGTGGAGAGGCCTGCTTCAGGACCGGCCGGACGCCCCGGCGCGGTCAGTGCTGGAGATGGCCACGAGCCTGAGCTTGACGGGGAGCGGAAACTCCAAGACCACCTTCACTGTGGCTCTCGGCTCTGGCCAGAGGCGGCCTGGGCTGCCCAAGACCCCTGCGTGGAGCCAGGGGTAGGCCTGGGACTTGCTGGTGTGGGGGTTGGGCACAACCCAGATGCCTCCGCAGCTGTGGGCAGAGACACGGGCTGGCCCCGTCGCCTTAATGGGCAGAGGACAGCCGGCAGGGGCATGGCTGGCTTGCAGACTTCCTCTGTACACATGTACGGTTTCATAATGTGTACCAGAAACAAGGGGCTGGCCTGCTGTGGGGCTCAGAGCCCTGTGGGAGCAGCCGCTCTGGCCCCTCTCCCCGTCCTCCCGCTGCACACCCGGCCTCTGGAGGGCGGGCAGGCCCTCTCCCAGCTGCCTGGTTCTCTGCACGCATGGCCACCAGGGCCTCCAGCACTCCCAATCTCTGCTTTTCTGCTACAGCCCAGGCTAGTGAGCAGTTCCCTGGTCACCATGCCAACTCCAAAGGCCACCAGGCTGGCTGCCGTGCAGGCTCTCACCTGCCCCGATACCCCTAGGAGCCTGCGTTCTGCGTTCTCCTGTGTTCTCTGGTGGGGGGGGGGCAGGCTGGGCTCCAAGCTGCCTGAACCAGGTGGCAGCTGCCCCTGCGGCCCTCGTGCCCCGCGTGCCACGCGGCCCTCCCCGCACAGCCGCCCTGCTCCCCACCACGTGCGGCCCACCCGCTGCTGTGCCAACCATCATCAGCTGGGAAGCTGAGGGCTGTCAGGGAGCCACGCTGTGGCCGTTCCTGTCCTTCCTGTCAGCTCTGAGGCCTCAGCAAAGTGCTGTGCCTCTGAGCCCCAGTTCCCCCAACACCACCAAGAGGGTGGAGGCAAATGCAAGACAGTCCCGGGTCCTCACGCCCAGGGCTCACAATGCCATGGTATGCTCCGCCAAGGCTCCCGGAGAACTGGATGTCCACGGAAAAGGGACTGAAGTTTCTAGAAATACAGAACTCAGAGTTCCCTGTGTCTTTGTCAGGCTGCAAGGGGGCTCCGGCAGGAAGGGGGCAGACCTAGACCACAGTCCTTCTCAAAGATGGCTGCATCCCTGCCGCCAGACTGCCTGGAGCCCAGATCCTGGTTTCAGAA